ATTAATTATATATCTCTCTTGTAATTTTAAATTTTTTCTTTTAAATATTGAAATGTTTTCAACTACCGAATAAAAAAATAAATAAAATGGATCATTTGGCATTGGTATTGGTATTAGTTTTTAACACACACACACATAATATGCGTCACGATCATTTTATACCTGTGTAAGTTACACTCTCAATCTTATCTATTGATTCCACTTATATCTAAGGGCTCAATTTTTTTAATAATGTGAGCCATTGGATACAAGTGGATAAATGGTCAAGATTGAGTGTAAGACTTCTAACTCTTACACCAGTGTAAGAATATCTTAACCCTATATATATATAGGGTTTAGCGGATGTACAGTGACTGCACCTAAGGATTGGTGCAGTCATATAAAACTACATTGTTTTATAGTGTGAAAGCATTAAATATGGAGAATTATAACCATACAAAGACAGAAATAAATATAAAACATTAAATATAGGAAATCATAACCGTACAAAGATGGAAATAAATATAATATTTTCATTTTCTATAATTAATTTTGAACGCAAACTTCCTTTAACCCAACCAAAACGACGTAGTTTTTAGGCGACTGCACCAATGCTTATATGCAGTCACATTACAAATCATTTTGCCATATATATATAAAGGTTATACTTACAACCTATTTTTGTTTACAACCTCTTACAACTATATCTTAACCGTTGATTTTCGTCAATCAACAATTATCATTTATTGAGAATTAATAACTAATTAATAAAATTGATTTGCGAAAATCTTATCCGTTAATTGACGGAAATCAACGATATATATATCATATTTATTATTAATTATTAATTTTCAATAAATTTTAATCGTTGGATTCATGAAAATCAACAGTAAAAAATAGGTTATAAAATTTTTAGGTTGTAAGAATAAAGCTCCTCACACACACAGAGATATATATATATATATATAGAAAAATATTTCTCAAACAACTTGAGATATATTTATCTCTATCCACCAAAAAACTACTTCGTTTTGTTTATTTATTTCTTTAGATTAATGGATTCACCTTTTAATGATTATGATTCCTTTTTTCGATCTCTTCCTTTATCACCATTGATCTATTTTTGTACGGTTATGATTTAGTAGCCGGAAATAAAGTTATCTCAAGCAACTTGATAAACGATAAGCCCATATATATATATATATATATATATATATATATATATATATATATATATATATATATATATATATAGCAACTTGAGAAACGATAAGCCCATCCACAAACACACACATATATATAATTATAACCAATGTTATTAAAATCGGCCCGGTCGTTGAACCGCATGATCCGATGATTATATGTAAATCTATATTTTATATTTAAAAAATTATAAACATACTCAAATAGCTGAAAAAAATAATATAAATTCTAAATATTTTAATATAAAATATAAAAAATAATAAATTATATATTATTGTTCAATAAAGGATCAAACAAACATATAATGATTGTGATACTAGTGTTTCAGGGTCAGTAAACGACATATTTAACTATAAATCAAATCAAAAAAATTTACATAGTGCATAACTATAGGTACATAACTTATGTAAGTTAATAAGTTACAGATCTTTCAAATATGTCAATTATGAAAAAATATTGGAATTTTTTGTTTTAAATAAACCGGGGCGGGTCATTAGTTAACCGACTGCATCACCGATTTTCAGCAAAATCAGCCGGGTCGCACCGGGTTTGGTACTTGGTCGATCCAATATGATAACTTGTAACAGCCCAAAACCCTGTAGCAGGATATTGTCCGCTTTGCCCCGCGCACAAGCACCGTCGAGCTCACGGTTTTACGTTTTGGGTTACCCCCTAAAGGCCTCCTACAAGGAAAGGTATCCACACCCTTATATAAGGCATGCTTCGTTCCCCTCTCCCATACAGGGTTTGAGGCTGTTACAGTTTGGTATCAGAGCCTGGCCCTGGACCGGTGTGTACAGCGGGGACGCTGTATTCCCAGTGGGGGAGGATGTAATGTCCGACATCGGTTGGAGAGGGGAACAAAGCATGCCTTATATAAGGGTGTGGATACCTTTCCTTGTAGGAGGCCTTTTGGGGTAACCCAAAACGTAAAACCGTGAGCTCGGCGGTGCTTGTGCGCGGGGCAAAGCGGACAATATCCTGCTACAGGGTTTGGGGTTGTTACATAACTGGACCGGTTAAATGACTGATTCACTAGGTTTCAAGTCGACCAACCGGTCTGATTTTTACAATATTGGTTATAACAAAGTAAGATATGTGGGCAAGATGTGCACCAACAATATGTCTTTGTCCAATCTTGTGCAGCAAGATTGGACGATGGACAGACTAGTTGATAGTGAAGGCAATTGAAATTGGAACTTGTTAAATCAATATGTCTCTGTCCAATCTTGTGCAGCAATTGCCAACATTATGCCCCCAAGTACCAATAATGGAGAAAACTTAGTCATCTGGGATAAAACCAGTGATGGTCTTTTCTCTGTTAGATCTACCTATTGCCTCATAGAAGAAGATGTTCAGATTCCACGTACTCCCAATGTTTTTAGCCCATGGAGATGGAAGGGACCAACTAGAATTCAAATGTTCCTTTGGAAAGCTTCAAGTGACCACCTCCTAACAAATGTGGAGAGAGCAAATAGACACTTGACAAACTGTACTCTCTGCCCCAGATGCAACGCTGCACCAGAAGACCTTCTCCATATTCTTAGAGATTGTAATTAGAGCAAAGGTATATGGAACCGGTTTCAGAACCACACTCTTCAACCTCATTTCTTCGACAACAACCTTCAGGATTGGATCCGGCAGAATCTCAATTCTGAATATGTTTTACATTCTCCTGTGGACTCGAACCTGCTGTTTGGAACCACCCTCTGGCACATCTGGAGAGATAGGAACAACATGATATTTAACCATAAACTTTACAATCAGGAATCGGTCTTCCGAAGAGCCAATATTTATGTCTCGAACCTCAAAGAGGCAGAACAGGTAATGGGGTTGGTTGGGACAGAAAGAAGCCTTAGAATTGAGAAGCTAATATGTTGAAAATTTCCACCAGAACTCTGGCTGAAACTCAAGTTGATGACTCTAGTAGTGACAAAGGAACCCACTCAAGTTGTGGGGGAGTCATCAGAGACGACTCAGGTAGATGGATCATAGGATTTAGCAGGAACCATGGCAGAGGATCCTCCTTAAGAGTTGAAATTTGGGGTCTCCTAGATGGTATTCAAGTAGATTGGAACTTAGGTTGCAGGAAGATCCTGATAGAAGGGGATTTCCAAGTTGCTGTTAACTTAGTTCTTAATGGTTGCAAAAAGAACCACCTAGTTGCACCTATGGTTAACCAAGTGCAAGCCTTGCTTCGAAGACAATGGTTGACGAAACTATCTCACACATACACAGAAGGTAACATGGTAGCAGACACCCTAGTTGCACATATGAGCAAGTGGATAGATTGAGATTGTCATATTCTACAAGACCCTTCACTGAGTGTAGAGCAATTCTAAGTATAGCCCAAGAACTTTCAATCTTATGTAACCGTTTAATGTAATTCCTCTTTTGAAAAAAAAAAAAAAAACTTCATGGTCAAAGAGTACGATACATTAAACCATGCTTGAATCTTGACCTACCCACCCATCCGGATTTTTAAGACCAAGTATTACACCTCCACACATACATACATACACGGATATATACTAGCTGTCATTACTCTTATTGTAACTCCAAGGTCCAAGCTATAACCCATATCATTATTATTTTTTAATAGATGCACATGGTGTAAGTCATTGTTGTTGCATGACAATGACACCACTTACCATATACTTTAATAGTAACCATGTAGGCTATCATGATATTCAATATCAACAATTACATTCATTTTTGAATTCTTCAACAAACTAAATGCGCACTCATCATACAACAACCACAGATATAATATTTAAAATTAAACAAAATGCTTAGAGTTTCATGTAATATGACACATGTCAAATGATACTCTCCAAGAATATTTCCTTACAATTAAAATCAGATTTTGATAATAAAAATATGGTACTCATTTTAATTTTTTATAAAAAAAAATAGTCCAGAAATTCTTAAAAAATTCAAAAAAGTAGATCCATTTAGTTAAAAATGTGATCTCTCATAAATTTAAAAAAGAGTCATATTAATTTTTTAAAAGAATTAAAATGGATCCATTTAAATTTTATAGAGATCAGACGATGACTAATTTTTTTTTATAAAAAATTAAAGCGAGGACTGTATTTTTGGCTTTTTCACCCTTTTGCCCCTTATTAATTAATTAATAATCATTTTGTCCCCGATTCGAAACTATCTATCAATCTGCCCCTCTTTAATCGACTACATTGCATTTTTAGTCGATTAAATGGTCAAAACAGGCAAAAATGGCTGTTGGGAGATTTAATCGACTAAATCTCCCTATTTAGTCGACTAAATCTCCCAACAGACAACAAAGAAAAAAAGTCAGTATGATTTTTTAATCGATTAAGTAGGGAAATTTAGTCGATTAAATCTCCCAACAACCATTTAGTCGATTAAAAATTCAAGTTAGTCGATTAAAGAGGAGCAGATTGGTAGATAGTTTCGAATCAGGGGCAAAATGATTATTAATTAATTAATGAGGGACAAAATAGTCAAATAGCCCTGTATTTTTTAATAAAACTCAAAATAGGCTTTACACAAAAAAAAAAAAGAAAAAAAAAAACTTCTAAACAAATTAAGAATTCATATTGAACTTAATGTCATACAAAACTGAGTTGCGTGATGTTGAGGGAATGATGGGTCCGATTTGGAGTCGTTACCAGCCAGGTAACAGTGTAACACCAAACAAATTAGCGGCGCTTAATAACGGAGAGTACGAGAATTTAATTCCTTTCGACATCTACGAGGAGGAGCCACTACCCTCTGTCTCTTTATATGTTTGGTTACTTACTATATTCCGTTCCTACGAGTCTTCGCCATTTTTCTTTGTTTTGCTTATGCAACTAAATCATCAAATGACGACGGTTCCTATCACCTACAACCATGCTTGGACCTTTTCTCATCCTCATCATGCACTTCCTCTGTCCCTCACACACTGCAAATTCTACACGATTGCAGTTCCTCGCAGCAAATATGGTGTTGGCCGAGCCTCCTCTTCTCCACTCTCCCGTTTTCGCGTGTTTTGTCAATCCAAGGTGATTCTTCGCTACCCTTTGGCGCCACTTTTTAAAAAAACTAGTTATTTATTTATCAAGTAAGATATTTTTTTCTTTTCTTTGAATATCATAGCAATTTTTTTAGGGAACAAAACTTAGATTTTGGGGTAAAAATTTCATTTAGAAATTGACTTCATCCACCAAGTGGCAAGTAGCTTGTCACTTTAATTAGAGATCTCTAAGTTCAAGTTTTGGAATGGAGAAAATGATGTTGGGTGAACTTCCCCCGGTTTGTATTTTCTGATGAACTAGTTGCGAAACCAAAAAAAGAAATTGACCTGATCCTCCTCTTGAAGAATCACTTTCCATCCATAAATTGTTCAAATATGTTGTCAGAGAGATATAAAATCATTAATGTAACCTCACTCAATGCCTTCTTAAGATTTTGGGTTGAATGAGTTCTTTTTATAGCATCAGAGTTGAAGTGATCAGATGGTTACGGGTTCGATCCTCGTAAACCAAAAATGGATCTGTGTAACACAAGATAGACAAAAAAATGGGACTGTACAATATCCACGCTTTAAACCCAAAGGGCTCTTGCGTGAGGGGATGTGTTAGAGAGATATAAAATCATTCATGTAGCCTCGCCCAATGCCTTAAGGTTTTGGAATGAATTGGTTCATTTCACATGTTTAGCATACTAGAAAGAAAGAATTGTTAGCTGATATCTCTAGTGTGTCAAACAACTGTTATAAACAATGCCTGTAAAATTCACATAGCAAGCGTGTCTAGGTGTGCTTAGTATCAATCTTATATAATATTATTCTTGTGCATGTAGACGGAGACAATGCAGATAAGAAGGTGCTCCCCTTTTCTAGAAAGTTCATTACTTTTTGGTAACGGTGCTGTGGCCTCAGATGAGTGGAAAGCAGTTCCTGATATTTGGAGATCTTCTGCGGAGAAGTATGGTGATAAAGTAGCCTTAGTAGATCCATATCATGAGCCTCCTACAACTATGACGTATAAACAGGTCTTTTTTCCCCCCTGGTGTTCTGTGCTTTTTTACCAAGTTGTTTTAATAATTATACATGGTGAAAATGTTTTAGAAGGTTTTCTGGCTTCCTATCTCTAATATGGTGGTTGTATGTGCCAATATATGTAACTTGTATTCTGATTTGTTTATAAGAAAGAAATATTATGTTTTCTAGGTTGATGGCATGACATATGACTATATCACTGTTATTGGAATTTAATAATGACTATGGTTTGAGTGATCCCAGGGTATGGTATGATCCTGTATTAATGTAAAGGGTTGTATGCTATCACTGAATTATACTATGCTGCCTATTTAAAATCTTTCAGTGCAAGTGAAAAAAGTTATTTACTACTTACTATGCCTATGCGTGGATTGATGGAAAGAGATGGAATAGTGGAGAATGACATTAGTTGCCATTGTTTAAAACAGGATGGAATAGAACGGAACTTAGTGGAATCCATTCCATCCAATACCTTTATTTTTCTTTTCCCTAATACGTGGGGGTATGGGATGGAACCAACATATTATTTACCAATTTCATTGCCACTTCCCAAACAATGGAATGAAAACTTAACTCTATCCTATCATAAAATATTCAAACAATGGTATGGTAATTTTATTCCATTCCATCCCGTCACTTTTCATTCCATCTCATTAATCATTAGATATCGAAATTCGAAACATAACCACCATAAAGTAATTTGAAGACATCTATAGGCTCATCCAAGTCATGCAAGCCTCAAAACTTATCAATAACTAAGACTCAACTACCTATTTCATTAGAAAACTTGTTTTAAGGAGAGCATTTTCCGTCGTTAGAAAACTCGTTCAAATAATTTAAAATTTCTTTCCATTGTCATGCACTTGTCTTTATTTATTACGGTCATTGGCCCAAGCCAATGTCTTTAATAGTCGCCATTGTTGACACAAATCATTGTACGCAACATTCACCTATCTAACTGCTCACTAGAAAATAAATTGCTTTTATGATTCTTTATGTATTTCTTATACTTTGTTTCATATCAAGATTTCAGTTGGAGCAGGCAATTTTGGACTTTGCAGAAGGCTTGAGAGTGATTGGGGTAAGACCAGATGAGAAGCTTGCACTTTTTGCAGATAATTCATGTCGTTGGCTTGTAGCAGATCAAGGTGCGCAGAACCTTTTTTTCTTTTGCCACTTTCAGTGTATTGAGTCTAGTAATTGCAAGTTGTACAAATCTTACGTGCACAAACTTTTTGAAAAACAAATAACAATCATAAAATATGTTTTAACTTCTTATAAAGACAATATCAAATTTTGAAAAAAATATGTGAAATTCATGAATATATATATGAAGGAAGTGTTACTATTTTGTTTTGTAAAATTTATCCCCCCATTTTAAAATTGCTTGTTTTGTGAAGGTTACACCATTAAATGAAAATGAATTTATAATATTCATATCATCTTATATGCCGAGCTTAGTGGCAGATTTACAATGTTTACATGCTCATGAGTTGTGGAAGTGCTCAATTAGTTTGTTTTATTTGTGTGTTTTAATCCTTAAAAGTGATACTGTGGTGTCAACTATTTCTGCATTTGAAACATACATATGCATCCCTAAGGCTACAACTTGTCTGGTACAGTAGTTATGCTTTTTTAATCCCATCCATGCTATATTTTTAGTCTAGGTATGATGGCAAGTGGAGTAATCAATGTGGTAAGAGGCTCAAGGTCATCAGTTGAAGAGCTATTGCAAATATACAACCACTCGGAAAGGTTTGATAAATACTTCAATTCAAACTGCTTGTATCTTGTGACAGTTCATTCCTTCACTTGATGTGCAATTTGAATCATCAGTTTGATTATTATTTTCTTTAATATTTGTTTGTGTTTGTTAGGAAACCACCTATCAATAAGGCATATAGTGTATACTAGGAAGAACCAAAGGGAACTAGAGCCCCAGGCAAGGAATGGGTGTAACTAAGTTTAGGAGGGAAAATCAAAATATGTGACTCAGTTTAGGAGGGCAAAATAGTTTGGCAGGAAAATGATAAAAAGAGAGGGAGATGAGTGAGGAATGTAAGCAAGAATTAGCTGAATAGGGTCTTGGGAAAGCTAGGAGCACTTCGCAATTTTGACCCCCCACTGTAGGCAGTGGTCTTCAGTCCAATATTCCTAATGAAATCCCCAAGGGGAGTTATGCAGCTACACGAACTAACTACTCCAATCGCGTAGAGAGCTCTGGCAGCAACATGTGAGGGTAGAGTTTAGGGAAGATAATGACAACAGAAGGTGTAATTTGGTGAAGCTAGGAAAATCTCCTGTGTACCAGAGAGGGTAGAGTTTGGGAAAGGATTACCTCTCTCTGTGTTAAGATAAAAAAAATATTTAACCTGAAGAATTTGAACATAGGTTTTGGGTTTGTTGAATGCAGCAGGAATCTTTGCGTATCCATATTCTGTGACTAGGATTGTGTGTTTTAATTGCTAACAATTCTTAACAAATTGTTCAAAATAAGATAACTTTTTATTTTCATTTTTTATTATGCTCAATCTTCGCTGGTGACTCAGACTTTGCTGACTCCTGCTATTGTTATTCAGTGTTGGACTAGCCGTGGATAGCCCTGAAATGTTTAGCCGGATTGCAAAAACATTCTATTCAAAGACTAGCATGAGATTTATTATCTTACTTTGGGGAGAAAAATCAGGCCTGATTGGTGAAGAAAACAACGAGGTGCCAGTCTTTAGTTTCATGCAAGTCATAGATTTGGGACGAGAGAGTCGCAGGGCACTATCTGATTCTCATGATGCTAGTACGTTAACTGACACTGTCTCCACAAACTCAGATTATATGTATACTTAAGAATGTTTTTGCTATGCGCGTACACCTTCCAAGTCCTGAGCTTCTTTTCCATCAAATCCTTTACAATGAATATTTAGAACTTTTTGAACTTCTTAACTAAATTCCTTGCAGTGTAAAATTAAGCAAGATTATTATCTTAAGGGTACAAATACCAGAGGTGATTGTCAAACATGTATTTCTTGTTGAGTATATATGAATTTTCAAACATATATGATAAAAACTAATAACTAACAAGTAATTGACAATTCACCTCTGGTATACTACCTCATAGCAACTCCCAAAAGTAAATTGTTCGTTTCATTTCTTCTAAAGCAGTAATAATGTTCTGTGCTACATTTCTACTTTCTATATTGATTTCAGAACAGCATTATCTTTATGAAGCAATCAACTCAGATGACATTGCTACTCTTGTTTATACAAGTGGAACTACTGGAAATCCAAAAGGTGTTATGCTTACCCATGGGAATCTTCTGCATCAGGTTTCATTGCAAATCTTTTATAAAATTTGTTGGGCAATGTTGCTTCTAGAATCAAGAGGGCTGTGTTGATTAAGAGTTTCTATGGAGAAAATCATTCTCCACATCTGCTGTTTCTGTTTGCACCTGAGACAAGCACGTGGCAAAAGGGTTAATTTGAGGTTAATCCTTGCCATTAGAGCAAATTTCTCAAGATATTGTTGTCCATACCTTGGCCCTTATTTTAGCTTTGTACCTCTCAATTGTTCCATCAAACTCTTGACAGCATTAAATTGTATTTGGATGAGTCTGAGGAACCGAGATCAATCGTCCAACTAAATTTGGAATCCGTTGTCTCTCAGACAATGGTTCTTCTCAATGGAGGGTGTTTGGTTGTCTACGTCCCAAGATGCTTATTTCTTGATGAAACTCCACAATGCCCTTTTTGTTTGGTATTAAAGCCCATGTGCATTTATAGTTCTTTTCCTGATGAATGTGAAAGAGAAGTAGCTCCCACGTGACATTCTTAGCAAAAATGCTCTTCAATTTCATGGTATTCGTAATTTTTCTTGTACAAAGACCCTAAATTTGGTACTAGACTCTGGTTGGGTTTGGTAAAAGTGCCACCATTAAAGTGGTTGTTAAGCGGTGTATTAGTTGTAGCTTTTATAGTTAGAACTTGTAGATGTTTCCTTGCAATCACAAGAGCCATAGAATACAAAGGAATTGGGATGGACAATGAGAGATGTAAGGCATAGCCAGTAATTTGGGTTCTTTGTAAGCATGGGCATCCTCTTAATGAGATAGACCACAAATAATTCAACATATTCCCATTAAGTATTTGGAAAATTTATGTCAAATTATAAAAAAAGCTAGAAACCTCCAACAAGCGCAAGTTCATTTGTCTGGGTGACACCATTTTGAACTAAGGGGCCGTTTGGTATGAGGCATTTTTTAGGATTCCCGGGAAACTGAAAGTGGTAATCATATTTACCCACGTTTGGTACAAGTTTTTTAAAATTTTCCCAAGAATCTGATTTTTCCGGGATTTTATTTTGTGTGTAAATTTTTTTAAAAATACCATCCAGGGGGTGGTATTCTAAGATTTCTATGGCAAGGAAAAATTTAATACAACTAAACATAGTATTAAGAAAATTAACCCAATAATCACGGAAATATTTTAGTCTACCAAACACCTTTTTGGTAACATTCCCAGAAAACTCATCTTCCCATCATATTCCTGGAAATCGTGATTCCCAGATAAAAAAAAATTCTCCTCTACCAAACGCCCTCTAATTGATCAACACAAATGTTCTAATGGAAAATCCCACTTTCATCTAAGTTCTTTTCACAATTTGGGTGTTAGGGAACAGATAGCCCCTTAAAAATATGGTCCATCCGCTACAACCTACAAGTAGCCATTTGTTTCTCTGCATCTTTTTAACCTCATTCCTTGTGGCTTTCTTGTTTATTTTAATTAGTATAAAGAATCAGTTCAATGCAAAAGCTTAAAATGTTAGATTAAGGCCAATTAATAGTTTTTATATTAAATTTCTCTAACACGCCCCCTCACGCAAGAGCTCATTGAACTTGAAGAGTGGACAATGCATAGGTCCCTCCTACCTGTGCTAAGAAGCTCCACAATATTTAATTATTTATTAATAGAATAAGGGTGGTGAGGATGGAACTCATGACCATTTGTTTTCGGAAGCTCTAATACTATGTAAAAAACAAATTCAACCCAAAAGCTTAAGTTGTTAGGTGAATGCCACATTGATTTGTTTTATATTATATTGATACAACACCACCCCTCCAAGTCTACCAAAGGAATAAGAATAGGAGGATTTGGGCCTCTAATGCTGTGGGTGGGTAAAAAGGCTGTGAGTGGCAAGGCTGATGGCCCAAGTGAAGTTATGGACGAAAATGCCCTCCAACAGGATGCAGGTGCGGAAGGAGCAAGTTAGTTACGCTAGATGGTTAAGAAGGGGTGTTGGGAACTTGGGGAAATGATCCGGGAAGTTGGATTGGAACCTTGGGAGAGAGTGAGGCCTCTCCAATTGTCTCACACCTATCTTTTATCTTTCTGCATTGTTAATTTCCCTAATTCCCTTTGTTTCAATGTAATCTTCTTTTTTCTGCAAGTGTCTCTGTTAAATTGTCTCTAATCGTAATTGTCACTGATAAATATATGGAGAACTGAATATTCAGACCACTGTTTACCTTGTGATTGTTGTTTGTTTTGTATTTTTTGAGTTGGTCCGTATCATATATCTTCTCTAACAAAGGCCATATTAATGGTTTTATATATTATACTCCTCACACAATAGCCTGTTGGTCTTGAAGGGTGGACAATGCACATACTCACCTACCTTTGCTTAGAAACTTCACAATATTTAATTATTTATTAATAGAATGGGGGGTGGCGAGAATCGAACTCGTGACCACTTGATCACAGGCTCTAATACCATATAAAAAAATCATTTCAACCTAAAATCTTAAGCTATTGAGTGAATGTCATATTAATTGTTTTATATATTATATCTCTAACAATTAGCTTGTGAAACTTTATGAGTTTCAGTTGGTTTATTTTGTTGGCTACTTGGCTTTTAACTTACCTTTGATGCTGTATAGTTGATCAATTTCTAGATAAAAAATTTATGGGACATTGTACCTGCTGAAGTTGGGGATAGATTTCTAAGCATGCTACCACCTTGGCATGCATACGAAAGAGCTTGTGAGTATTTCATTTTCACATGCGGTATTGAGCAAGTATACACAACTGTGAGAAACCTAAAGGTATTATTACTTTGATCCTATGTGGAAACATTACAGAAATGTGGCATCTTACACAGTTGCAATGTGACTTCAATGTTAGGGATTGGAAAAGGAAAATGCTAAAGGCCAGGTTTTTTTTTTCAAATAAAACGATGAAGAATATATGGATTATTGTCTCAGTAAACAACTTTAAAAAAATAATGATTGGGATAATTATAATGTATTATTGTTATTATTATTATGAATGCATTGCTGCATGGGCTAAATTGGTTATTTTGTTATTTAAATACACGTGTATTAATATCCTCTCCTTTTCTTACTTTCTAGGATGATTTGGAACGTTATCAACCACACTATTTGATTTCTGTTCCTTTAGTTTTTGAAACATTATACAGGTAAATCCTCTTCTAGGAATTGTATGAGTACATATTGAATTGATGATATCTCTATGTAAAGCACTTGTATTTTGTCAAACTTCAAAATCACTCCTCAGTCCTCAGTATGATGCATGAATTTGGTTTTTTACCAATGCTTTGAGGTGAGTTATGAATGTTGATGGAGAAGATGATTGGAAAATTCCTGCAATCTGTAGCGTGAAATAATACGAGTCAAGGTTTTGTTCTTGTGTTTCTTCATTTTATTTTATAAAAGCTTAAAAACCCATGTGTAACATATAGGAAGAAAGAAGATTTTTTTAAAGCAAATAAAACTAAATTTTGATATCAAAATTTCTTATTTTATCCAGTGAAGAAGAAAATAAACAAAAGGAAAGAAGAAGAAAAGGAATTAGTTTCCTACGTTGCTATTAGACGACTTCTAGCTTTTAACCAAGTATTAGGTTCCAAAATATAGATAGTACTGTTATTGTTCTTTGGCAGTGTGAGTAACATAAATTAAATGGGAATTTCTAGCATACATTAGAAAATTATTTGTAGGTAAGAGGTTTTTAGGTGAAATCGGGGTTTGGGTTTGTTACATAAAAACAGTAATTTATTTTGATAGTCAACTTTTGCTAATTGCTATTGTCCTCTCCCTTGGTTGAAAGTCAATGTTAAACCAAGTTAATCTTTGATGTTCTTTTTCTTTTTGTTTATTTATGTTCTTGCTATAAATTTTCTAGTACAGTGGTATATAGTTTAGAGCAATTACTCAAATAAATCTTCAAACAAATTGGGAAGTTTTAATCTGGAACGTGTCCTGTTCGGTTGTTACTTTCTTTCTTTTTTATCTTTTCTTTGACCTTGAACTTCATGCACCCTTTTATATCAATAAATCTTTCCTTTATGATCCACATTCTAGGCACACGTTTGACATTTCTATATAATTTATAGGGAAAAAAATTAAGTAACCCTTGTTGACACTTTTATGGTGTGTTTGACAGTGGAAATCAACTAATTGAAAGCATCATTTTAACAAGTGGTTTCAATCCTCAATGAGTTTGTTAAACATTATTGGGGGGAAATAAAAAGTTTAGTGCTAAAGGAAATTTTTGTTTATTTTGTGAGAAATCTATGTTCTTATTTTGATTATGATGCTGGAATCCTAATTACCTGAATCATATCTCGGGCTTTTTCCATTATAAGGATTATGTTTCTTGAAGCATAACTTTCATTGTTTTTCATGATTGTTTCCTCTGCAGTGGGATCCAGAAGCAGATATCTACAGGCTCCCTGGTTAGAAAGCTTGTCGCACTGACTTTCATAAATGTCAGCTTAGCATACATGGAGTATAAGCGAATTTACGAGGTCTGGTCATCAGATCTTTTTGTATGATATCTGAAGTGTTTAACATGATTCTTGAGGTCTATTGTAATTCTTAATGCTCCCCCCCTCCTTTTCTTAATTTTTGATGAAAAAATTCTTAATCAATAATTCTGTTTTTCTTTGCTTTAGGAACATTATCTCTTAATAAATCCTTCTATAGCAGCACCACTTTTTTTCTTAATAACTTTAAACTAGTATACGAATATCGTAATACCAATTCTCACCAAAGATATTGCTTTTACTAAATTTTAAATATGTTTGTAGGGTAAATGTCTAACAAAGAATAAGCAGCAGCCTTCGTATGTCCATTCAATGTTAGACTGGTTGTGGGCAAGAATTATTGCCACAATATTATTTCCAGTTCATATTCTGGCAAGGAAACTCGTCTACAGTAAAATCCATTCTGTTATTGGAATATCAAAGGTATTATATTCTTCTATTTTATTGTTTTCTAATACTTTAATTGTATGGTTCTCTTTATTTTATTGTTCGTCACATTTTGTGAAGTGCAATACTCTCTGTATCTTGCTTGGAAAAAAGTTTTGTTAAGTATGGTCAATGGGAACCCAAAGCAAGGCATGAAGCCTAAATCACAATAAGTGAACTTAACACCGCATTCTATCCCAAAACCTTAAGGCAACGAGTCTATGGGTCTTTTCCACTTATATGATTCTTACTTAGTTCATTTCTAACTAATGCGCGACTTCATTACTCATCATTCACATTTAAATTTCCATCAAATTCAGTAACCAATTGAGTTGTTAATTATTCCCAATTGGAAGTATTCTTAACTTGGATCCCACTTTTTGTACTTTTCCAAAAAGTTTATTCATAATATTTTCTGTCAATTGTTTGCCTTGTTCTATAGATTCTCGTTTGTGTCTCGTCTGCTCATCATTCTCTCTGATTGTAAAGTAAGAGTTCGGGAAGAAAAGTTCATTATCAAATAGATTTTTTAACAGACTTGTGACTGGAAGCCTAGTTAGATGTTAGTATTTGTTCTGGTACACGTAAGGTGCTGATTACTTAGTTGAGCGTATCAAGGATAAACTTGTTTGAGTGTATTCAGGATAAGTTATGATTGCGGAATTGCACCTAATAAGATGTAATTGACTGCCATATAGTGTTTTAAGATGTAATGCAAAACCAGAATGAACTTTTTTTATTTTTTATTTTCCCTTTCCTTCTTCAAACCTGACAACTACTGAAAATTTGGAGCATTCAAGAAAATGGTTTTATGTGGTTATGCTACTCTGATTACCTGATAAAAGAGTTTCTTTATCAGCCTTTTGGCTAAGGTCTAGTGTTATTCCCCCTTTGTCTTTCTCTTCCTGGTGCCTCATGGATGACACTAGCCACTATGGTGAAGGTCTTTCTGGGCTGCAACAGCAATAGAAGTAAGAAAATGTAGTCTATGGAAGATGGTTCTAACTGTCTGCTTTGGTCCCTTTGCTTAGAGAAAACAAAAGAATTCTCAAACTAGGAGTTTATGCAATTAAAAACCATTAGCATGGTTTCTTTTTGAGATAATCCAATTGTGCATTAACTCTAGCTTTGCAAAGTAAAAGGGCATCCTTGTGGAGTAGATGTCAAGGGTCCCAGTTGTCTTGTATCTTATTTTTCCGTAATTTTTTTTTTCGGTAATCTCTTTTTCCCTAATTTTTGGTTGTGTGGTAGTTGTTATATTATTTCTTTTGTCCTTCTTGGGATTGGACCTTGTTCCTCCCTATGTTGCACCGACACCGACACGGGACACGGGATATGACACGACACTCCGATATGTTAATTCTAAAAAATGTTAGATTTCGACACGTTAGGACAGATTTTGATATTAAATAATATTTTTAATTTATGTAGTGTATATTATATTTAATATTCAATAATTTAAAAAAAAAAATTAAAGCTAAACTTATAATACCCATCAATTTTGCAAAGAAACATTAGATATCACAAATATTTTATATTAAACTCAATAAAATGGTAATTGTAATCGAACGAATCTAATAGTTGGAACTAAAAATGCAATGCAACGCAATCTTTGAACCTTTTTTGAGTCTCTGCGATGTGTGTTGGAGTGTCGGGAAGTGTCGGACACGATACGTCAGGTGTTTTGAAGTGTCGGTGCTTCATAGGTTCCCCCTTCCTGGGTTTTGTGATAGCATTCATCTAAACTATGCACCACATTGTTTCATTATTCATGATTCTGGAAATTGAGGTTTGACAAGAGAAACTTTCTGATGCTTGCAGGCTGGAATAAGTGGTGGTGGTAGTTTGCCCCAGCAAGTCGATAAATTTTTTGAGGTCTGATAATCCATACTTGTACCTTGTAAATATTTATTGGAACCCACTTCACATTAGTGCTTTTTTATAATGTGCAGGCAATTGGTGTGGCAGTGCAGAATGGATATGGTTTAACAGAAACTTCACCAGTTATTGCTTCTCGACGACTTAGATGTAATGTAAGCAATGTATTGCATAGAAAATTTGCTGCCTGCATATACCAGTTTGTGTGTAACTGTACATTTACTTGAAAATTGATTACTATTAAAATCTTAAACTGAAATAACTGGTTATATCAAGTCGTTCTTTTTTTCCTTTTGTTTCTTTGACAAAGTATCCTACTTAATCTGTTAATAGCAGAGTTAGGAATTTAGAGTAGAGTGTAAACGAGTCAAGCCAAGTACTTGAAGTTCAGGCTTGATTTGTGAAAGAAAGATGATGCTCAAGTTTGACTCATTTATTTAAACCATTCAAAGTTGAAGACCGGGCATGGCTTGTTTAAAAATATAAAGCTTGAGCTCGGTATGTCTAATTCATTTATGACTTGTTTGTTTTCCTTCTCTTTATCAAATCTCTTCTAATATTTTTAAGTTTATTAGTTTAGTATTTAGTATGCATTTTTTTTGCTACAAGATGAAGTAAAAATAAGAAGAAAAAGACTAAAAAATTCTTTGAACATGAAAGTTCGGTACAATTTTTTAGATAAATTACAATAAATAAAGTAATAAAAATATGTAAATTATTATCCATATTGTAAAGAACTAATTCAACCCAAAAGCTTAAGCTGTTGGGTGATGTTACATTAATGTTTTTATATATCTCAACACGCCCCCTCACACGAGAGCCCACTGGGTTTGAAGGGTGGACAATGCACAGGCTCACCTACCTGTGCGAACAAAGAAATTCTACTAGAAAGAAAGTGGGGGGCGGTGAGGATCGAACCCGGGACACGAGGCTCTGATACCATGTAAATAACCAATTCAACCCAAAAACTTAAGCTTTTGGGTGAGGTTACATTAATGGTTTTATATATCTCAACACATATCATTTTTTATCTAAAATTAAAAGCTAAGCTTGAGCTTGTTTAGTCAACCAAAAAAACTTACGCAACTATTTAAGGAGTCAAACTCAAATTATTCATCAATGCCTCAAACACATTTAGACCTGAAGCACAAAGTCCTTCCTTTTATAATAAGTCCCTATCTAGAGCACGGCATTCATAATAATTGCATAATTTGCATTCTTTTGATTTCTTTGTAAGTTGAGTCTGCAAAGCGTGGTGCTTTTATCTGTGAATGTTAAGGATGCAATCTTTTGAAGGTTATCGGATCTGTTGGGCATCCAGTTCACCATACAGAATTCAAAATAGTAGATTCTGAAACTGATGAAGTTCTTCCACCTGGTTCAAAGGGCATTTTGAAAATCAGGGGCCCACCAGTGATGAAAGGATACTTCAAGGTAATTTGCTTTGTCAAAATGTGAATATTTTCTGTTTGCGTATGTGTGTGAGAGAGTGAGAGAGATTTGTCACAAATTCATAATTGTTTAGAGGGCACATACTGCATATTATGAAGAATACTTTCTTTATACTGAATTATAGTTTTATTTTCTTGTGTGTGTACAAAATATTTGAGAAGGGACAAGGTTGGTTCGTTGTAAGGTGAGGGCATGCCATAAGCCAGAGTGAGGACTTGCGGTGGTACTTAAAAATGACATACATGAAGGACCACCCACAGGAATTGAACCCTATAACTGAACCATTGTTGTTTACTCATACAGATAACTCTCATTGGCACTGTAGTTGCAGCTTTATCATGAAACACCAAACACCTTTTCCATGATATTGCAGCAACCCATGTTATAGGTAGAGTGACCCTCACGTACACATCATGCAGTCTTATTGATGTTTTCTGGATTAAATTGTGATAATTACGTGTCTTATATTCTTGTATTAGAATCCTTTAGCTACAAGTAAGGCCTTGGATGGGGATGGCTGGCTGTATACTGGTGATTTAGGGTGGATTGTTCCCCACCATTCAACAGGGCGGAGTCGTAACTCTGGCGGTGTGATTGTTGTTGATGGCCGTGCTAAGGACACTATTGTGCTTTTAACAGGTATAACAGAAGTTTCAATACAGTGTAATATATTTAGCTAAGCAACAATGAATAATATATAATCTTATAAATAAGTTATAGACAAGTTGTTCTCGAACATGAATGAATGAGAAAAATCCGGTGCTTGAATTTTGTTCAAACTTGTTTATGTGACTCTCATATTTATACAAACATATATAAACCTAACTGAATTTAGTTCATGGGCTATCCACTGATTACATTGGTTTGATCACACCCTTAGAAATCATAGAACATTAACGAGACTGGACAAAGTTTTGAAGACAGAAAAGATTCTCAAATCAATAATTTCTTTGGGCTCCTAGAACTCAATTGGATATTTTGTTAACAGAATCATATAATTTCTTAAAAAATTCCATATTTCAGTTACTTTTTAATGGAAAAAAAAAACAAAGAAATTCAGTAAATGTTGTTTGTAATTTACTTCACTGTATGGCTTCTTGTATCTGCACAACTTGTAATTAATGACTGGCTGTCTTAGTTGTCATATGTTTACCGCGTGGCTTGGGGTTAATTTTCATTTTTCAAACCTTAATTGCAACTTTTCTCTCTGCTCAAAATCCTTATGATCGTCAGTCTTCTTTTTCCCCTTATGCAAGTACTAACCATTTGTTTTCATAAGAGAAGGTGAAAATGTTGAACCAGTGGAACTTGAAGAAGCTGCCCTAAGGAGTAGCCTGATTCAACAAATTGTTGTTGTTGGCCAGGTGAATTCCTGATTTCTTTCAACTTTTATAGCTCAAGTTGTGTGTATTAACTGTATGTGAGATAGTACAAAATGTAATTATTTTCCTTATTGGTGATAACTGTAACATATAGGATAAGCGACGTCTAGGAGCTGTAATCGTTCCCAACAAAGAAGAAGTTCTTAAGGTAGCAAGGGAGTTGGCAATTATAGATTCCAACAGTTCAGACGTTGTTAGTAAGGAAATATTGACGAGCCTAATGTATAAAGAATTAAAGACCTGGTAAGACTTGTCTCACTTCTATTTCTTGCAATGAATCCCATGCCTTTACTGATATCTCTGCGGTATGTTAGTGTTATTCTGTTTCCAGTAAAGGTCAGTGTTTGGCTATATGGTTAATTAGCTTTACTTGAAGTTCATGAGAGTGGATGAGAGTAAATTAACTTTTTTTGTAGCCAATTAATTTTTTTATGGTCAGAATTAAATATCTCCCTTTGGCACTCTTAAAATTGAGTGTTCTTGTTGTTGTGTACCAGAGTTATGGGAATAGTGGCTAAAATAAAGTGAGAAAAAAATTGGAAACTGATACACAATATTTAATGCCCTCAATTGATAAGGGAAAAACCTAGGCAGGAGTACTCTAAATACAAGGAGAAAATAATTACACTCTGACATAGTAGAATAATCTCTCTCTCTATAAAATAGGAGAAATAATCCCAAGGGTTCACATGAATTTTTTCTGTAAGGGGACGATTAAAACTAAGAGGAGATCTGTATTTATAAGCAGAACCTCAATCTCCTCATTTAATTCCACCAAAGTGCAGTTGGAGAAATTCTTCCTTCTTCTTCTTCTGCCAACTTACACCAAAAGCTTCCCCTGCCATATTTGACACTTGTACATACTTATGTGTGATGATTTTCTTCATAAGAGAATGAAATTACATCTGTGAAGTTTTTTCCTTTGCTAAATGTGGAATAAATGAGCAAAATCTATGTTGTAATATGGAAGAGTATGAAGCGAGTTTTGGTTCAGTGATTGGCAATTTAAGCTCAGATTTTATTATTGTTATAAACCGTGGATAAGGATGATATATCCTAGCCTTACCATAGCTAGATTCCTTAAGAAAAGCCAAAACAAGTTTCTTAATTGAAGGGAAAAGGTACAAAGTTATGTTTCTTCATGACCAAAACAAAATGGAAGGGAAAGAAAAAGTTCACATGTTCCCTATCTGGTGTTCACTAACCGGATTTCTTGCCTAAACTTTGATCTTAATTTATTTGCTTTTCCCCATTCTTCCTGTCTTATTCATCATGCAGGATGCCAGAATCTCCATTTCAAATTGGACCAATCCTTCTTGTAAATGAACCATTCACGGTTAGATTTGGAATTTAAAGCAGAAGTTTCTTTTTCATGTTATTCACATTACAGGATTTGGTTAATCATTTTTTGGAATGACAGATTGATAATGGTCTAATGACACCAACCATGAAAATTCGAAGGGATAGAGTTGTGGCTCAATACAGGGAGCAAATAGACAATCTATACAAATAAACCACCGAGTGCCAATGGCATCATCATACATGCACAAGAGAGATTTGACAATATATTATGTTAAAGACAGTTACATAAAGTCCTATTCTTGGGTAACAATCCTTTTCTATTGTATCTTACAGAATATAAAGTACTGTTCTCGACAATACATTGAAGTTAACGTGTGCAGAGACTGATAGAGACTTTTGGCTCAAACTGAGATAGCTGTCTACTAAAATTGAAGTTAGTAGATGATGGTCAAGTGAGGCCTAAAATTTCACCTTTTGGCCCCTACGTCAAGTTAGCTTTGCATAAATTAATCAGGCTCTCAACTTAGCATAGTATCATATGGATAGGGTTGGTTGAGAAAAGGTTTAAAATTACTCTCTAGAAAAGGAGTAGAAGGTTTTCTAAATAAAGAATGAGATAGGATATTATTTTTACCAATTAGTGATACTACCAATGTTACTATCACTTTGTTTCATTGTTAGATCGATTATGTTGATCCAACGGTTATATTTATTTTCACCTTTATATAATTATGATTCCCCATCTTTAATGCTTTCATATTAAATATAGAGAGAAGAAAGAAGTTTTTTAAAAAGTTAAATCATAACTATTGGATCAACATAGTCAATCTAATGATGAAATAAAGTGATAGTAACATTGATAATAAGAGTAATTGATAATAATAAGGAGCATGTTCTCTAATTATTAGTCACAAATATGATTGGGTTCTGCCAGTAGACTTTAATGAGTTATATCCTGCTATTAATTATCGTGTCCTTTGTCTTTTTTCTTGTGTTGACTGGAATTGCGAGGACAATAATCAGAAATTTATTAATAAATAAAGGGATAGGTCATTTTTATGGTATAAGATAAAAGAGAATGTGCATTGCAATCTTTTAATATTAAGAAAGTTTTAATTTTTAATTTTGCAAGTTGATATAAAATAAAATAAAAAGAATAGGAAAAGGTAATGTAATTTGATAACCACATCTATAATATATAATAAAAATTATTAAATTGAAGAAATTCAAACTGGTAGATAATAAAATAGGAACAGATTCTGGCTTTCTGACCCTTTTACCCTTCATTAATTAATTAATAATTATTTTGTCTCTTAATCAAAACTATCCACCAATCTGTCCCTCTTTAATCGATTAGCTTGAATATTTAATCGATTAAATGGTCAAAACAGGCAAAAATAGTTGACTCGAGATTTAAAAACTTATATTTAATCGATTAAATATCCCAAATGAGCGTGAAAGCATTGATTGAATGAGACAAACAAGGAAAACTCGTTGGTTCACTACGTAGCGAGAACCAATCTTGATTCATTAACGCATTTGAGTTGTTCCTGAATCCAAATTTTCATATAATGCTCGCCAAGTGACCTTTGGCTCCCAACTCAGACATGTCCCTAGTTTAAGAACATCCTGAACTATGATTGGTTCACCTTTAATCCAATGCTGTTGGAAGAGAAATAGTCCTTCTTCTGACAAGTCACTTGACACTGGACAATATATGTTATTATCATTCGTGTCATCTCTAAAAGCAGCTCTTATAATAGATTTGCTGCTTAATATTGCTTCTTTCTGAAGAGTTTTGTGCTCAATTTTGCAAAAATTCTTCAGCATGTCACGAGTTTTGGCTTCCAACTTAGAAATCCATCCATTTGGAAGTATGGACTTCAGCTCCAATACATAGTCACCACAACCCCTCATTTCTTTTGGAGCACATCTAATACTTCCATCACTTTTAGCATTCCAATCAGTATATATCTCAATAGTACCCTATGAAATCCGTAAATCACAATATACTGGTTGAAGATGACCACCATGCATGTACTCACTGCCCTTATTAACATATTCAAACTTCAGTTCAGGCCGGGATGAAATACTTCCATTTCATATTTCTTCACAGCAAGTAAGACAGATTTTAAACAAACACTTGGGGCAGCCAAAACTTAATCATTATAGTAAACTAAACCTTAATCATCCCCTTTGAACGTAGCGAGTTTTTCTTATTTGTTTCATTCAATCAATGCTTTCACGTTCATTTGAGATATTTAATCGATTAAATATTCAAGTTAATCGATTAAAGAAAGAGATTTAATCGATTAAATCTCGAGTCAATCATTTTTGCCTATTTTGACCATTTAATCGATTAAATATTCAAGATTGATTAAAAAGGGGCAGGTTGGTAGATAGTTCTGGGTAAGGGACGAAATGATTATTAATTAATTAATGAGGAGCAAAAGGGTAAAAAACCAGCAGATTCTCTTATGTCTTGTTTTAATATGATCGTACTATGTGAAAAATCTCAGCTATTTATTCCCGTACCAATAGTTATGATATTAATAAGGCATAAAGAAGTTTGTAAATGGGGAAAGTGAAAATTATCACTTTAATTGATAACACAGAATAATGTAAAAACAAACGGCTAAGGACAAAATAATATTTTTTTTTTAAATTAGAAGCTACTTAAAAGCTAAAGTTAAAAAAAAAGCTTAAAAGTTGTTTGGTGATTATATAAAAAAATTTAGTTTAAAAGTTACTTAAAAACACATTTCAACGGATTAGTCCCATAGCCGGCTCAAAGAGTCGAAGCTCGTGGGGATACCGGAGGGAGCCAACTCGTCTCAAAGAGATAATTAGGGTTGGGTAACTCCAAAAAAAAAAAGAAAATCCTCCCTCTCTCTATTATAAAAAAAAAGAACTTTTTATTATAAGAGTTTTTCTCAAAACCTGTTTGACCTAATTTCTACTTATAAATAACTTCTAGCTTAAAAAAAAAAGAGGGGATCCAAACATGCACTCACACTCTCATGTAGTTGGAAGAATTTTTTTTTCAAAAAAAAAAAAGGGTTGAGCCCACAAAACCATTAATGTAAGGGAGCGTGTTAGAGATATATAAAATGATTGTGGAATTTCTTAGCACAGGTAGGCTGAGCCTGATGCATCATCCACCTTTCAATCCCAATAGGATCTCTTGTGAGGGGGCGTGTTAAAGATATATAAAACCATTAATGTAACTTCACCAAAGAGCTTAAATTTTTGGGTTGAATTGGTTTGAAAATAAAGTTCTAATCTTCATATCTGCATATATGTAGTGGCAGATTTAAAATGTTTATATATGCTCAAGAGTTGTGTAAATACTTAAGTAGAATGCTTTGTTTGAGTGTTATTTAATCCTTAAAAGTGATACTGTGGTGTCAACTATTTCTGCATTTGAAACATCATGCATCCCTATTTGTCTGCTATAGTAGTTATGTTTTATTTTAATCCTGTCCATGCTATTTTTTTAATCTAGGTATGATGGCAAGTGGAACAATCAATGTGGTAAGAGGCTCAAGGTCATCGGTTGAAGAGCTAGTGCAAATATACAATCACTCTGAAAGGTTTGATAAATACTTCAATTCAAACAGCTTGTATATCTTGTGTACACTTCACAACTTCATGATTCCTTCCAGACTTGATGTGCAATTTGAATCATTAGTTTGATTATTACTTTCTTTAATATTTGTTTGCATTTAATTTAAATTTTGTAAGCTATTAAAAATTGGTCACCGCAATCAATCTGGACCAATTTTTCACAATTGATGAGGAGTTAGTCTGTATTTTTCTGAAGCTATTGTGAACCGTATCAAAATAGTCAAATTTCTCATGTATGCGTTTGTTTTTTAATTGTTGAAGCAGGTTGAGTTGTTCTATTCCACTGGATTAATTATATATGATTTACAGTTTAACCTAGGCATCTTCATAGTGCCTTCCAGCCAGCTTTGATGTGCAAAATGCTCTGACCACTTTGATTATAGTTTGTTACTCACACATATGGGTTTAATATCTCTAATGTTGTAGGAGATGAAATTATCTCGCACACACAAAAAGTGTGTGGAGCTCGTGTTTTTTTTTTCTATTTCTTCTCTTCACATGATCCCACATGAGCTCCACACACTTTTACGTGTGTATAGGAGATAACTTTATCTCCTACAACATGAAAAATATCAAACATCAAAATAACTTATCTTGAAGACCCCTCACATCCTTTTTGCTCCCACCGATACCTATTATAAAACACCAAAATGCTTCCCTTCACTTTTCCCTGAGCAGCAGTAAGTAAGCCGCTAATGGGCACCCGGCTCCCACCCACTTTAGCTTCCACCCATACCAGTTGACTTGGCAAACTCTCCAAATAGATTGAAGCCTATAAATACTCTCCTCCCTCACCATACAAGGGATTCACAATTTATGAGTTGTTACCATGCCAATTTGAAGAGCCCTCCTTGTTATTAATCATTCTCGATTTTTGCATATTTCATCGCTGGGAACACCTTTCACTATCTTGGTCTTCACCATAGCTGTGTTAGGTACCCCTACAATAACCATTACACCCCCCTAGTTGGGGTTGCATGCTGGGCTCAACCCATTAAACGATTCAGAATTAAAAATTATTAATTGTTTTAAAGTGTAAAGAATCAATTCAACTCAAAAGTTTAAGTTGTTGGGTGAGGTTACATTAATGATTTTTATATTTACCTAACAAGCCTCCTCACACGAGAGTCTCGAACTCGTGACACCAAAGCTCTAATACCATGTAAAGAACCAATTCAACTTACAAACTTAAATTATTTCTCTAACACAGGGTATAGATCTCTCTTCACAACCCTATTTTGTTTTTATCATGTTAAATATACGAAAAAGATATTATTGCCTAGTCCCAATTGCGTGCTACTATTGAATTAAAGTTAATAATGAGATGATGATCTTAGCAATGAGCATACCCCGATTTCTATAGCTCATGAGTCATGTAAAGGCCACATTGCAACGGGTATTGAAGCCTGTATCTGTCTTTATCTTAAATAGGAGAGTACTTGTCCTATTGTAATTTTCATATAGTTTGGGTCTATGGTTTTTTGTAATTAAACGGAAGAAATAGACGAACAAAATGCTTGGAACCACGAGTGCAACAATTTGAGATTGGTGTGAAAGGAACTAAAGTTATGTCCTCCCTTTATTAAATCCATGGGACCAAATAATCAAGTGTATTTTAAGGTCCATTGTTATGAAGACTGGAGAATGTACCAAATACTTTATATTAACACACCTTTGCTTCTGTTTTCTCCTTTTCCTTTTTGTCATGATAATCCCATTTACCTAACGCCACTTTTTGTTTATGTAGCTAAAACAAGAACTATATAACTATTTACCCCCGTCATTTTTACTTCACTCAGCACTAATTTTTATGGCCCGTGATTTTGCCTCAGAAGGGACAAAAATGAGAACCAATAAAATGTGATCAGATAAGCAGCCACGTGTTTTCTAAAAATAGTTTTTTTTTTTTGTGTGCAAATAAGTAGGTATTATTTGGCATGGAATTAGAATATCCCTTGGGCATTTTACCCCCCTTTTTATTGACATGATACTTTACTTGTAGATGATTACTGCATCGAGCAATTATTATGTTTGTACTGCCCAACACATTATATTTAATTTTTTTAAGTTAATATTTCTCATATCAACACATAAAATTTATGGACTTACATGGATTTATGTGAAGAGAAAAGATAAAAAATATATATAAATCTAATACATTTTTATATATAACTAGGAGATAAAATTATCTCCTATAATATGAGAAATAGTAATCCCATACTTAAATTAGTCTATATATAACGTAACATTGGTCATGAGCAGCTTTAATTCTTAGTTATCAATGGTACAGGAGTAACATTCCCCATTTAACATATTAGAATTTTCTCCTCCAAAAACCACCTAATCTCAATTATCTCATACATATACAATCATTCATTAACAGAGTAGATCATTAGTTTTCACATCTGTAGCATATGGAAAATAACATAAACTCCATGTTGTCCAAAAAGTTTGGTGAAGTGCGCTCCATCAGTTTATCACTAATGCAGTCTCCACTTGCGACTTTTCTAAAAGGTGCTGTCATATATTATTATTCTCTTTATTATAGTGCTTCAGAGTGGAAGGGAACATCCAAGACACACAACACAAGAATGGCCTCAAAATCCACCATTAGACTTCTGAGCTTATGCTACTTTATGCTCTTCAGCTTTATGCATTTCAACAGAACTGTGTTCTCATGGACAAGTCATGAAAGCACATGCAATGGTTCCATAGCTGAATGCAATGAAGAAGATGAGATGCTGATGGAGTCAGAAATAAGCAGAAGGTTTCTGGAGCAGAAGAGATACATTTCAGATGGAGCACTGAAGAGAGACAAACCAGTTTGTAATGGTGGTGCCACTGGTGAAGCTTATAGTAAAACTGGAGGGTGTCTTCCTCCACCCGCAAATCCTTATAATAGAGGCTGCTCTAAATATTATCGTTGTAGGTCTGATTCTTGAGTGGATATTCTTCATGCAAAGAATCTTTTAAGGTTGTTGATGAATGATGCATTCGTATACTCTTTCTGTTGTTCATCAAATTTGATGAGAACTTTTAAATTATATGAAATTTTCCGTAAGGTTCTCTTACATAACTAATCCTCTGAGGGTACTAAATACTGAATATCACACAGCTAGGTGCAGATCAAGTGCCCTATAAACATAGATCAGTTGCTATGATTATGCTATAACATAGATCAAGTATTAAATTTACAGGTACTCCAGAAATGCCGTTGCCACCATTGATAGGTTTCTTGGGTTCCCTATCTCCACCCACCATTTCAGCTTTAATAGTCAATCCAAGTTTGCATACTAGTATGCATATTAACTATGATGAAAGTTATATTTACTATTTTTTTTTATTATCTCTTACTATCAAATCTTAATCGTTGATTTTTGTCAATCTAATCGTTATATTTTATTGAAAATTAATAATTAATTAATAAGTATGACCCGATAAAATATAACGGTTAGATTGATGAAAATCAACGGTTAAGATTTAATAGTAAGAAATAATAAGAAAAATAGGTAGTAAGTATAACTTTTCCCGTTAACTATGGGCTAGCTTTGCATTTCTTCAAATTTGCTTAACAAGAAGCCATTTTTAACTGCATCTAGTGAAGATAATTACAAAGAGGGAAAAAAAAAACAATATTTGTAGTACCTCCTAAAAATTGCAATTGAAAAGAGAAACCAAGCTCTTCCTAAGCTGCTAATTTCCCAAGGGTGATTGCTTTAGGTGTAAGCGCATGACTACATAAGATGTGTGTGAATTGTGAACGAGCCTTTTTATTTACACATCAATATTTTTATTTACATCATGTTTATTCTTTTTTATTGAAAATATATAGAGAGAAAGTATGTATTTTTCCCGTATGTCCCTAAAGTATAAGTCTTCTTAACCAAAGTGTAAGTGTTGAGGCTTGGAGTGAAAAAAATGAGAAAAGAAAAAAGAAAGGTAAACAATTTTGTAGGACCAATGACTAAAACAAAGATTTTAATTTTTATTACATAAATTCCATTCCTGAACCAAAAAGATTGACAATAAAGCAAACGTTTTTACACATTAAAGGAAGGAAGTGACTTTGCTGAACGCTGATTATGAAGTCTTGCTCATCCAGAATTTAGAACTTCAAGCGAACGCAGACCTAATATGTTCCCGACACATCAATATAGACAAACTCCATAAAACCCACATAAGTAACCAGTAATAAAGTCAAAGTGATGACAAAACAAGAAAGGAAGTCACAGTCATAAGCTGTTAAACCCACATAACTCTTAATCGGCTACCATTAATTAACTGAGAAAGAATATCCGGATAAGCTAGTCATAAATTCCAATTACAATCTACATGAACTGCCCTCAATGATCATGCGTAAGCCATGATGAACTACTTCACCTTTTGTCTTAAGAAAGAACACAAGCATACATAGGATACGACATATCGAATCTGGTATTTCTCCATAATCTAATAACTGAAAGGACAGCTTCAAATTCATCGAGATTCCCAATCCTTCAATTTTTTGCTTCCTTTAGGTTTTGCTATAGGTGCGTTCACTGCTGCCATTTTCTCATTATACTTTGCACGAAGTGGATCATTGTAAGTCCACCTGTACATTCAACATTAACAAGAACATTAGACCATACCAATAAGAAGTTATCTAAATATAAAATGTTCCTTACAGCACTAAAAAAAACCCTTGTTTTTTCTCAGGGGAAGGAGAGCTATGGATGTTAATTACATGGTAAGCAAAATGAATCCCTACCACTAATGTAACAAATCCCAAATTCTTGGTAAGAGGGATAGATCAGACACAAGAAAAGTACTTGGCAGCATAAAAACCTTAAAAAGCCGTTTAACTTTAATAAATAATAGGTTAGCCACATGGATTACAGAATATTCTATAATCTAGCATAAACATGAAGCTAGATCTTTAAAAAATTACACGCATGGTGATGCAACAATTTATGTGACAAACTGACAATATAACAAATAGTCAAACACTACTCAATCATGCATCATTCCAAAGCTGATTATCAATGTCTACCATCATGACTGCAAGCCTATCAACCTAGAATGAGAATGCATGATAAATTCCAGTGTAAAAAGAGATTGTGTAGACCCCTTTTGTTGGCATAAAATCAAAAGTGTGGTCAGATCAGTTTCACACCAATTTCCAAACGGATTCAGCATTCTGTAGATAATAAAACTAGTATTTCAGATGGTCACAAGACATCAAGAGAATAGACCTTTATCAAGATATTAATGTAGAATCATAATTTTTAACTGTTATGTCATACTAAACTTAACAAATTACAAGCAAGCAAATGACACAAGAAGTAAAACCCAAAAGGACTAAGAAAACAAACAAGCATAACTCATAAGCATGAACATCTGTCAAGATACTCAGTAAACCATATTTAAACAAGCATGCACTTTTATACCCTGATAGGGTTCACTAACCCAAATACAAAACAACAACAGAGAACCAAGTATTTTTGGTCTGGCAACCCAGAATTTTCATATATTCATGGAAACAGAGACAATTACAGAACTAATGACAGCGAACAAAAGCAAATTACAATGAAAAGGAAAAATTACAATGACCAGGAAATGCACTAACAGTAAGCAAATAACAGTAAAGGATATTGTGAAGCAGTTGGAGAGGCTTCACTCTCTCCCAAGGTCCAATTCCAATCGAACTTTCCAGATCCATCCTTCAAACACCAATCCTCCCCTTTTAACCAATTCCCCCGTAACAACCTTGCTCTCCCATGCTTCCATTCTGTTTTGCTGAGTCAGCACAGCCAACAGCATTTTCATTTGGGCCAATTACTACGTTTGGGGCCCAAACCAAGGTGGGTTCGTATCATACCCACACCGCCCCATTTCTTAGAGCAGCAAAAAAATACTGGGTTCAACGCATTGATACACACAGTTGCTCTGTTCTTGGGTTGCTCTAGGGAGGTTTGCAGGGGAGAGGAAGCTGTCACTGGAAAGTTGGGATGTGAAGACAGGAAGGAAAAATAGTAACGTACTCTGGGAGTAATCCTATCAACATGTGTAGATGTGATCTAAATTTTATTATTTAATTTATTTTAAACTTAATTCAACAGTATGTAGGGTTTTATTGTGCCATAGGTAACATTTTTAGTGGACTTGTGTAGTACTTTCAGTTTAGATCACGAAAATATTTCTTCACCATAAAGGGGTTTGAAGGACAACGTTATACCATGGCCAACAAAAGATACAAGGTCAGGGACAATGGATAGAAGAGAAAATTGAGGGATTTCAGAAATTTCACCAATATATGTGTAACTCCAAATTCCTAGTTTCCTGATGAAAAATGAATGCCCAATCAAAATACTGAGAATTTCTAAAATTTTCTTATTGAATACCCTAAACACAGTATTTTAATATATAGCATTTTAAATACTTTAAAAAACTACATTCCTATTCAAAATTACCTTACCAAAACAAAGCCTAAGATCACTTGGTTTCCAGGTGAAAGGAAAAAAGTGTAGGCATCCACCAGTACCAAGAGAAGCACATAACTTTCAAACAAAATGCATTATAAAGACATACACTAGCCATTTAGACTTCTTTAAATCATAAATGAACATTTCAATTTTGATTTGAGCTTCTCAATATCATACCAAGAATGCAAAAGTAATGTACGATACCATTTTGGATCAGTGCCATAGCAGATAAACTTCAGTAAATATGAACAGAAAAACAATATATTTTTGGGAGGATAAAAGAACAAAAAAGAAATATCAACAAATAGAACAAAAAGTCTATCACAATTCTTGAACGATATAAACTATAAGGAAAAGTGAACTTACGGGTTGTTCCAATCAGTAGTGTCCTCATTGACAAGATGGGTCCACTTAGTTCTTCCACTACGACCAAAGTGCTTGACTTGCATAACCTTGGGTAATATTGTCTTATCCATTTTATCTTCCCCAGTTGGGGCAGAGAAATCACGTGCAAAAATATTATCAGACCCAACAGTGGCAGCTCGATCGTCAGAATCATCCTGGAAGAAAGCACCCTTGTGATAGTATTTCTGCATAAATCTCCATTTCTGCTTTGATGGTGGAGCAGGTTTTGGATTCCTCCTTTCCCACTCTCTCCTCTCTTCCTCTGTCATATTTCTCACCTTCTCAATCTCTTCTTTAGCCTTTAATATTGCTTCCCGATCCTCCCTATCCCTCTTGATCCTACCAATCTCTCTCACTTTCCAAGCTTCATATTCCTCTGCCTCATTGAGTTCATCATCAGTATCCACATCAGCAATGTTTGCCTCCATTTCCAAATTTTTCTGGATTTCTTCATCCTTCCGGACCTCCTCAACAACAAGCTGCTTCGTCTCAATTCTCCTTTCCTCCAATCTCCTTTTCCTTGCTTCCTCAAGGGCCTCCTCTTCAGCTTCAAGACGCTCCCGCTCAGCAATAGTATCTCTCTCCGACTTGGGAACAAACACAGGCTTCACCATAGCCACTCCCGTATATTCCTCATCCGAATCAGTCTCATACTCAGATTCCTCTTCCTCCTCTTCTTCTTCTTCCTCCTCCTCCTCCTCCTCTTCCTGAGGAAGCGCTTCTTCCTTCTCTCTTTGAAGCAACTTTGCTTTAAGTTGTCTTCTTCGTTCAGCCAAAGCATTCTCATCTTCCTCTTCCAATTCCAACCCTTCCTGTCTCCTGGCCTCCTCTTCAATGATAGAAACAATCTCAGCCTGCCGAATTCGACGATGATCAGCCCTGACTTCCTCACGGTTATCTATTCGACTCTTGGCCAAACGATTCAACCTACTATCATCCTTTTTAACAATAGTAGTATCATCGTCATGACGAGGAAATGCTTTCTCCAAAGCAGCTTCCCTGGTGGGCCTAACATCAACAACCTCTTCATTCTCATCATCAGCCCATTCAGGAATTTTACCAGGCCAATACCTCTTAACTTTTGTTTGGCCAATTTTACCTCTAAGCTTATCCCTAACAGCTATTATTGTATCACTAACACCTGCAGTCACTGACATTGTTCCTCTTCCACAGTTGAACACCAACAGAAAAACCTACTTTCGGTTACGTTTCCTCCTTCAAACCCTAGTTTTCACAGATGCATCATAATAAGCAAATCATTCATAAAATAACAGATGCAAGGAAAAGTAAATGGAAACAATTGCGAAATTTTTTTTACAAAAAAAAAAAAGCTAAACGGAGAAGGAGGGAAAGAGAAATTCCATAACAACGGCGAAGAAAATACGGAATGTTAAATAATAAAATTTCATATGCGAAACATTTGAAGGCATTACGAAAAGGGTTTCGATTGATTCAAAACACAAAAACTTCAACTGAAAGAAGAAAGCATAGGAGAAACAGATGAGTTCCAACGACTTACAGTTACAGGGACAAAGAAACCCACAGCTACACGAACAACGCAACCCTCTCTCTCTCTCTCTCTCGTTCAAGGTTGAGCGTTGCCCAGTTTATTTTTGTTCTGTGATTCTAATACCAAATTGACGTAAACAAATTTCTAAGTTGAATACCAATAAAAAATCCAACCTTTCACTGTACCATAATATATAGAGAAAATGGATACATACTACTATTACATACAAAAATGAAAAAATAAAAAAGATGAGATGCAAAAATTAAGGTTAGATGACTTGATAGAAGTTTTCTTATGTCAGAGAGTAATATTTTCCTAAATTTATATTTCTAAGAGGCAGATCCTTTGACACCGGTGTCAAAGGAAAAGTTTGACACCTCATCTGAGAGTCGTTAGATTAAAAAAAATCAATGGTGTCACATGCTTACAAATCAGAATCGTTGATTTTTTTTAATCTAACGGCTCTCAGATGAGGTGTCAAACTTTTTTTTTGACACCAGTGTCAAAGGATCCTGTCTCTATTTCTAAATATGGATTTAATTTTTGGGATAAATAATAGTTATGTTGTAGAAAAAATAATTTAGTTATGTTAAGATAAGACAAAATAAAATCAATAAACAAAGTGTCTTATCATATTTTTTTATTATTATTATTTTTTGTTTTTTATTGTTGCCTGACATCATGTAACATGATAAAATAAAGACCCTTAATTTTTATATAGATAAGTTATCTACGTTTATTCTTAAAATAATATTATTTTAGATTAAAAAATTATAACAAGAAATATTATTATAACTTAAATAAATTGTAATTATAAAAATAACTTAATTTTTGACTGAAAATCTTTAGGTTCAATATAAATAACTTATTTATATTGAAGGCAGATAAAATCAACCTTTTAAATATGGAGTTTGCATTTGTCATTTAACATGACACAACAAAGTTTCCTACACACACAATATTTTGTGGGGCTCACACTTTTTGAAAAAAAAAAAAATTACAGCACGCAAAACGAATCTCTATAATATTACACAATCACTTTTCCTACAACATAACTCTTATAAAATCATTTAAAAGAGATGTTTAAAGATTATATTTTGGATTTGTGTAGATTGTGTTTTGAAAAGATGAAAACAAAAAATAAAATTACATTCATTATAACAAAATGAAATGTTAGAAGTGTTTGTGGTACATAATTTTATGTTATTTTAAATGAAAATAATTGTGTTTTTTTGTATATTTTTATTTTCTCTATCCTCTTAATTTCGTAAAGAAAAAAGAACATAAAAAAATAAATATGCATCAAAACACTTTATTTCACTTAAAATGGTATAAAGTTATTTTTTAAAATAATAAATATTTTTCCCAAATGAAATTATTTCATTCTTTTAATTTAATATTTCTGTTTTTTTTCCTTAATTTGAGAGTGTGAAATAGAATTGATTTCTTGTTTATATTTTACACTATTTCATCGTAAAATATTAAAATAATAATATGATTATTTTATTCTGATATTTTTTTTTGATTTAATCTTATGTATAATCAAATATTTAATTTTAAATATTGTTAATATAAATTCTTAAATTAAAGCATCCTAACTTAAAGGTAAAACTACTTCATGATTTTAAGGTTTGATCTTTATCATGTTATAGGAGATAAAACTATCTCCTATACTCGTAAAAATATATGGGGCCCCTAGAGTCATGTGAAGAGAATAGAAAAGAAAAAAGTAAAAAATAGGTCTCACACTTTTATGAGTATGTAGAAGATAAAATTATCTCTTATAATATAAGAGATATTAAACCCATAACTTTATGGGGGTTAATGTTTCTTATGTTGTATGAGATAAATTTTATTTCTTATAAACACATAAGAGTACGTGGGTAGGGAGAAAAAAATAAAAGAAAAAATGTGGGTAACAGATATTTTTATGTGCGTAGGAAATGAGTTTATCTCTTACAATATAAGAAATAATAAACCCTAATTTTATTGTAATGTATTATTTGTATTAAAAATATATAAAAGTCAAGTTTTTTTACGAAATGCCTATATATATTCTCCTAATTTAGTACATTTTCAGCTCAAAAAGTGTTTAGGAATTTTGTTTCACTTCTTATATTCTTATTAATACTCGGTTATTTCTTTTGTTTTCAAACTACTTTGATACCGATGTTTAAATTTATTTCAGAGCTAAAACTTTTTTTAAAAATTATACAGTTAAAAAAATAAAAGAAAAATAATTATAATTTTATGTGATTTTAAGTTAAACGATCACGTTTTAACATATATCAGAGGAGATAACTTCTCATGAGTGACACAAAATCAAAGTGGATTCCATATTATTATTTTTTCTTTTTAACGATATCCTTTTGGGGCGGAAATCAAGGTATTTTTGTAATTATAATATATTGCAGGATTATTTTAGTCTTTATCATTATAATTTTTTAATCTTATAACCACAAAACGACATTGTTTTGAGCTCACTGAGATAAAGTTATATCCAGTGACTAGTGACTGGAGAAATACTTTTCTCTTATTTTAAATAATAAATATTTTCACTTAAAAATTTCTAATCAACAAACTCGATAATGAACAATATCAATAACTATAATAAATGTCATTACAACAAAAAAACTAATAAGATATTATTTAACATCAATGTTTTTTCAAAGAAAAAATGAATTCTTATTATTTATGGGTTCGTTTTTTCTGCAGTTACTACTGTATATAAGTTATCTGCAGTAAACCCAATACGACGTCGTTTTTGGAGCGGATATCATGGTTTTTTGTAATTTTAATTTATTTCAAGGTTATTATAGTCTTTATAATTATAATTTTCTAATCTTTCAATCCTAAAACGACGTCGTTTTAGAAATAAATGCAAACAACTTATCTGCATTAACTGCAGAAATATTTTTCTGATTGTTTATACTTATAAAGATAAAATTTTGGAGGTGAGAGCATGTGTTCGATCTTTCATAATATCATATTTAGGATGAATTTAAAGTCTTAATATTAGGACCCGTCTTAAATCAGACTAGTCGCAAAACGATGAATCAATTGAAATATTAAAAAAAAATGTATTAAAAACAAGTGATCAACATTTTATTAAAAAATGCATTCTTAAACTCTTGAAATGTATAAAAACACATGTGATAAAAACATGTATTACTCTTCCCATAAAAAAAAAAAAAAACATTTATTACTCTCACTCTTATTTGATACTTCGTTTTACAGTTTCATAATATAATATTGGAAAAAATGTGTGTCATTTTAAAGAATGTAAAGTTATATTATTTTAAGTGAAAAAAAAAAGATAAATAAAAAAAAAGAGTGGACAAAAAATAAAATATGAGTTTCACCTCTTTGTAAAAATAAAATAATATAAGTTGTGTTGTCTAGAATCAAAAACACTTTTCCCTGCAATAATATTATTATTCAATGTTAAACCCTATCGACGAAGAAGGTGCATCTCTGATCTCTCTACTTGTTATCTTAATTATTTTAGGTTCAATACCCCCAAACCCTTACCAATTTGTGCATCCAAAAACAGAGCATGTTATTTGTTTTGTTGATTCTATTTCTGTTATTTTCTAACATTGTTCGAGTACGAGGAACGAAGGCAACAACGTTTGGAACCAAAATTAGAGGAAGTCTGTGTTTGAATGCTGCGAAGAATAGCTTCCTGCTATCGTTTTGGTCTTCTTCAAAACATGGGTACTATCTCCTATTGCGTTTCCATTCACTCTTCTTTGTCTTTTCCAATGTACTATTATTGCACCATAGTCACTGCCACAAACATTGATGAGATTGAGAGGTATAGCTACAGAACCCAGTTCATGAATTCCATGAGAAACCAATGTAGGTCAGGTAAACTGAAGAATGTTGATGAAGCTTTGGACTTGTTTCATGGTATGGCTACAATGAAGCCTTTGCCATCTGTGGTGGACTTTACTTTGTTGTTGGGGGTGATTGTGAGGTTGAAGCATTACACAACTGCCATATCTTTACTTAAATTCATGTATTCTTCTCTAGGAATAAAAGCTGATACCTTTACTCTTAATGTTGTGATCAATTGTCTTTGCCGTTTGAAGTTGATTGCCTTTGGGTTCTCGGTCTTGGGGACTATGTTCAAACTTGGTTTGGAGCCTTCTGTGGTGACTTTCAACACTCTCATTAATGGGTTTTGTTTACAAGGCAATGTGGCTCATGCTGTGGGGTTGGCTGACCATATGGAAAAGATGGGCTATCGATCGAATATTCATACTTATGGGGTGTTGATTAATGGGTTGTGTAAGATGGGTGACACTTTTGCAGTTGTTGGGTGGCTAAGGAAGATGGAAGAAAGAAATTGGAAACCTAATGTGGTTCTTTACAGCACAATTATGGATAGTTTGTGCAAGGATGGATTGGTATCCGAGGCGTTAAATTTGTTCTCAGAAATGACTAGCAAAGGTATTCGACCTAATATTGTCACTTACACTTGCTTGATTCAAGGTCTTTGCAATTTTGGAAGATGGAAAGAGGCTGGTTCTCTGCTGGATGAGATTATGAAAACGGGAATGATGCCAGATTTGCAAACACACAATATTTTAGTGGATGCTTTTTGCAAAGAAGGAAAAATTAAGCAGGCAAAAAGTGTAATTGGCTTTATGATTCTGACGGGGGAGGGGCCAGATGTATTCACCTATAATTCTTTGATTGATGGATATTGTTTGCAAAATCAAATGAATGAGGCTATGACAGTATTTAATTTAATGGTTAGCAGGGGCTGTTTACCTGATATTGTATCTTATACTTCTCTAATCCATGGATGGTGTAAGATTAGAAACATTAATAATGCTATGCATCTCCTGGATGAAATGGTTAAGATGGGATTCATTCCTGATGTTGTAACTTGGACCACTCTTATAGGTGGGTTTTGTCAAGTGGGTAGACCATTAGCTGCAAAAGAACTGTTTTTTAATATACATAAATATGGCCAAGTTCCCAATCTCCAGACTTGTGCCATTATATTGGATGGCCTATGCAAAGGCCAACTTCTTTCTGAGGCAGTGTCATTGTTTGAGGCAATGGAGAAGAGTAATTTGGATCTTAATGTTGTGATTTATAATATTTTGCTTGACGGAATGTGCAGTGCTGGAAAACTGAATGATGCATGGAAACTCTTTTCCTGTTTGCCGGTTAAAGGTTTGCAAATTAATGTTTATACTTATACCATTATGATTAAAGGTCTCTGTAGACAAGGACTCTTGGATAAAGCTGAAGACTTACTGATGAAAATGGAAGAGAATGGCTGCCTGCCGAATAGCTGTACTTACAATGTCTTTGTCCAAGGCTCGCTGATGCAAAAGGAGACTGCAAGGTCAATAAAATACCTTACAATAATGATGGACAAAGGTTTTTCTGTGGATGCTGCCACCACAGAAATGATTATCAACTACTTATCTACTAATGAAGGAGACCTGGGATTTCTAGAATTTTTGTTTCCAAAATGATAATGCCTTTGAAGAGTTTCGCTGCACATTTATTTAAATCTAACCTCAATTACCCTTTTTCCATAATCTATAGCATAGGACACCAAAGTGAGAATTGGCATAGGCTTGGCAACTTACATTGTGTTAGATATACAAAACCATTACCAAGTGCTTCCACCTGACAAGTTATGTGATCAGGAGAGTTGGTCCTTAACATGGTATTAGAGCCTCAATAATTAATTATGAGTTTGATCCTTGCCTCCTCCATTTTTCATTATTAAGTTAAATTTGAGACCTTGCGCATTGTTTACACTTCAAGGCCAAAATTTAGTTTTATATATAAATCATTGTAACAACCGGTGAGTGTGTACAATCATTCTTCTACTTCCACCCAACATCTTAAGCTATTAGAAGAGTTGTTCCTTGACATTTTTAGTGGTACGTAATTTAACCTCTGCTTGCTCATTTATTATTATGTATCCTCAACTTAATTAAAATAGCTTTGAGTAGGTAGACCTATATGGCATTTAGAAAAAAGGCCTTTCGTTTTCATGTTTATGGTATTGAGTAATTTTTTACTTAAGTACATATTTGCCGTTAAGTTTAACAAAGTTCAGTGATGATACAAGTTACAGTAGGATTAATACTGGAAGAAAATGGAAGAAAATGGAGGACAGGTAATTTTCTGGCCTTTATCTGTGCAATACAAATAGACTTATGGCAGTTATCTATTTTATTGTATTTGAACAAATTGAGCTTGTTACTTCCATGATGAGCATCGTGTGAGCCGTTGACTAGGCTCTCGAGTCAATTCAGAGTTTCAGACCCCCTTATACCCCTCGAATGTACTATATCACAATATTCCTCAGAAATTCTACAGGTTAGATAATGAAACAAGCTTGTTAGCATTATGTTGTAGTCATCCTCCATTATTTCTTTGTTGGGACAGAACAAGGTTATCTGAGAATCTGCTTTCAGATACACTTAATGTATGTGTTTTTAAATTTGATTCTTTTAAGCATAATAGTGAATCTTGTATAGTGTTCTGCATACAAGTTTCCTGCTTGTATGTACAGCTCCGGAAATAACCTGATAAATTAAAGTGTTAAACAAAATGAAATTCTAGACAAAGATTGAAGTCAAAATGTGGAACACATCCATGCAACTGCAAGCCATGGCCCTCGGATTGAAAGAGTTATAAACAACCTCAATTAATTGAACCCGAAGGAAATCGAGATGCAGTGTAAGAAATGTAAGAAATGATTTGGAGATTATAGATCACAGCAAATTCGAAGTTTAAAGACTAAGGAGGGATTAGATCAATCATGTCCCCAAGTCTAATCTCTATGTCTTATTTGAAACTTCTCATTGTATGATCAAAGTTTAATTAATATAAAGTTTGTCCCTTGTTGCCAACTAATCTCTTTTAATAGGCAATTTATAATTATCAATATAATCTACGGTGAGGATAGTCAAGTTCTTCATACCGCCCTTCATAAATTATTCAAAGATATATATTCCAGTCCGAAGTGTTCACTTTCAAATAGTTATATTTCACCAATTATTTTCAGTCAATTAATTTGAAGGTTTCCTCAACAAACGGGATGACGAAATATAGATGACAAAAAAAAAATAAAAATTATATGATTATATCGGACAAATGCTTTTTAAGAGTTTTTTCCTTGCAGAATTGTGGACGTGGAAGAAAAAATGTAAATGAAAAAATTTAAGACACTTCGAAAGGGAAAAAAAAGAAGACATTCATCTGTTAAAAATATTTTATTTCATGTCATAAAGATAAACATATAAATTCCTTTAGTTTTATTTTTATTTTTTTATAAAAAATAAAGCTTACATATTCATTAAATGACATAAAACAAAATATTTCCAACAACACGAAAAAATATTTTTCCAATAAAAAAAAATGCCTCCAATCTTACCACAAGGGTTACAAGGGAAACAAGCACCATTAAAAAATTATATTAACCATTTTTCGATAATTCTAAGTGAACTGTTCAAGCCGTAAAGTATCGAGCAAAAGTACACCATGTCAGCGATGTGAAATTACAAAACTCCATTCAGGTTTTGAACTATCCAGATAATAAATAGCTAATATTCCCAATGTATAGCCCTCATGAAATTAGTACATAGTATTACAGCCTGGAGAACTTGAGCACCGTGAGGATTGCAGGCAACAGAAAGCTAAAAGCAGAAACAATAATTTTGACAAAACCTCCTCTGAACTAATACTAGAATTGATGTCCAATCAGTCCCCACTCGCACAGCCCTTGCAACCACAATGAACACACTCTATAACCTTCTCTTCCCTAAGTTGCTTGGGTACTCTGCAAACACAAGTGGTGGCAAAATTGTGATCGCGTGGCTGCATGCACCTCAAGCAGCATAGACGTTCATAACCAGGCTGCAATTCAAACCAAAAACATGATTTTATTCAAATCCAAGAAAAACAGAGTGCACAAAAGAGACAAGACAATATCACTACACTATAAAGAAGCCATATATTTTAACAGTCATGAGAAATAAAACCCCACATAATAACAATACTAATAATATCTGTAAGGGGACTACTAAGGCAACCAGAAGATGGCAACTGGCAACCAACAATGATATTTGAGATTTTCAGAATATTTTTAACATTTTTTCCTACCCAGTTGCAATAACCTTGTGACATGTAGAAAAAGCAACAAAAAAGTGTAAAGTGTAAAAACCTTAGGATACACCACCCCAAAAGCTAGCTCAAAGGGTGGGAGTGGCCAAAGCCTTATAAACTCCACATTAGTCGCACATACAACCAATGTGGGACTATATATCTCAACACGTCCCCTCACACAAGAGCCCTTTGGGCTTGAAGGGTGGACAATGCAACAGGCCCAGCCTACCTGTGCTAAGAAACTCCACAAGAGAAAGTGGGGGACGGCGAGACTCTGATACCATGTAAAAAACCTTAGGATACACCACCCCAAAAGCTAGCTCAAAGGGTGGGAGTGCCCAAAGCCTTATAAACTCCACATTAGTCGCACATACAACCAATGTGGACTATATATCTCAACATAAAGTGTCAATATTTTCCATTTTCTCCACAGGTCATCAGTGTCCGACTGATAATATTAGTATCCAAATGTGTTGAGCATAAATAGTTGTTCGCCCAATCAAGACAACTTTTATCTAACTACTATGATGGATAAGCAGTTAATCATTATGCGGCAACAACTGCCTTAGCACATGGAGAATAGTCACAACTAAGACATACTTAAAGGGAGAAAACTAATAAATAGCCATTCACAACTAGAGCAGTCACGGGGACTGCCAAGATTCCCCCCTTCAATTCATTTGTTGAATCTGGTCCATCCTTATGATGTGGAGGAGATTGTGGCGGAATCTCTGAAATCATATGCTTCTCGAAAACATTCCAAAAGACAGTTAAAGAAACCTGCAACTACAGTGAACTATGAAATCTGAACTCTGAAAGGAAGAGGACGGAACAATTGTGTTTGTGAAGATTCTAAGTTGGAATGCTAGAGACTTGGGAAACCCCGGCAAGCTTAAGAAACTGAAGGAGGTCATCATTCCCTAATACTTGGTTTAGGATATGTTTCTCGAACTTCACAAGAGACCTTACAACATCTTGTTTTGAATCACTTTCCCATCATTTTGGGGTCTTGCAAGATCAAATGGGGCCCTACTCCAAGTGGCTAAGCCATTGTTCCCTCCCTTTTGTCAAGACAGTCTGGAAAGAATCTAGGCATCTTGCTCAGAGACATTAAGCCCCTTATCTTTGCACTATAAGGTGACTACTTTACTTTGGAACAACCTTTTTGACTATCAGAAAGCACTAGGTGGGTACACCTACTCAAGCAATTTTCTATGGTTCCATAACAAACCTTTGATAAAAACAAGGAGATTACAACTTTATGGCAGTGTGCAGTATTTGCAGTCCTTTGGTGTGTATGGATACTCATTTATTTAAGGAGATTTATTCACCCCCTAAGTTTATTTGGGACAGAGTTAAGTTTTTCCTTCTTGATGCTAGGCTCAAGGCAGCTTCAAGGGTGTAGCTATCTCAGAATCGGATTTCTTATCCTCCACCTAGTTATACTTCTTTTTCTTTCTAATGAAACTTATTCTCCTATGGAAAAAGAAATAGAAAAACAAAAGCCTTTTAAAAAATATAAAAAAAATAACTCATGTTGCGTACCTTCTTCCATTTTGCAATTAGATTGCGGTCAGCATATCCTTGGTCTAAACAGAATTCATACAATTCTTTAGAAATTTCCTTCCTCCGATGGTAGAGGTCAAATATGTAGCGGCTCTTTTGGTGTGCAATCTTAAATATAGGCCATAATGTCTCACATTTTCTTTTGCCATCATGTGGATCATTCTCAGCTGCCACATAAAGATATAAAACCATTAGTTTCGTAGACTTCAGAAAGAACATAATAAAATCTAGTGAGGCATGCACAATATATAAAATTCCAACCTTCCCTCATCTTTGCTTGAAGTTCACGGATTGTAGGCTCAATTAATTCCCAACCCTCTGGGTATTTAACACGGTTGGTCTTTACTTTTGGCATTTTTGTATCTGTCAAAGGAAAATATGACATCAAAGAGTCAATTCCGATACATTCTACCGAGCAATATAATTGGCACTTAATAGGTACAAGCTATCAAGTTAGTAGTTAATAAACAAAGATAAAGAAATATCACTTACAAAATAAGTTAATTTTCAAAAAGATAAAATATATACTCAAGCTTGCTGTGAAAAAGCTTTAAAAATAAAAATATTTCAATATTCCAACTCTAATCCTTCACCACACTTGGAATAAGTTCTGAAATAGAGTTGTCAAAATAGGATCATCTAGAAAATATACAATACAATATGCTTGGTTTATTCAAGGCATTTTGACATAAGGATCCTTCCTTGATTCCAACATCATTAAGTAATAAGCATCTCAAACTACAAAGACATACAAAACAGTTGCAGCAAACATTTAAAAATCAAGAGCAGTAGAACCTTAACCATAAGTTTAGCTAAAGCCAATAACGGAGAACCCAAAAAAATCTAAATTTTATGCAAAAGACAAGCAGTGTAATCTTCACACATAGACGCAAAGAAACCTTCAAGAACAATGAAACAAGGGCAAGGGACATCAACTATCAGCAGAATTATCAGCAGCAGCAGCAGAGAATAATTGTTTCTTAAACATCTCCCCGAGTTAAAGTTCAAGTTGTTCAGATCAGAGTTCTTCGAAGAATCGGCACTAAATAGTGACTACTAGGAACATTACCAACTTTCACATCAAACAAATGAGACATTTTTTGAAGAAAACCCTAAGCTAACGGATTCAGCCATATATATAGTTTTAGGGCAAAAAACCAACGACACATACCTCAATGCCGATTTCGCTATGCTCTTCGACTCGATTCTGAAGATAGGTAGAGAGAGAGAGAGAGAGAGAGAGAGATCAATGATGAGAGAGAATAAAAATCAAAGGAGAAAACTTAAAATCGAAAAAGGAGAGAGAATAAACCTCACACGGCTTGAGTCACTCAGCCGGCGGCGACCAAGACGGCGGTGCGTCGGCGTTCCTCCGGCAGTTTGCACGCTCCTCAGTCGTGCCCCGAAGCAGAAGAGAACTGATTTGGGGTTTTTCTGGAACGTTCGAAGAGCACAGGCACCGCGTCGTCCTTAAGTTTCACTGTTCTGAAATACTCTCACTTGGGGTCCCTATTCTATTTTCGAGAGTTATATTATATCTCTTCGTTGCAAAAAATTTAATTCTTATTTATTTTATTAAATACTCAATACCCTCTTCTCGAGACATTTTTTTTTTTTTTTCATTTGGGAATTATAATGTTTATCTACTTTTATTCCAGGGCAGAAAACGTTTGTATTTGACTACAAAGTTTATTTTGTACACTGCGAGAAGTTCTTATTGAATCATTTATGGATCTAGGATTTGAGAAAGTCGGTATATTTTTAATTTTTTCGAGGGAAGGTAAAAAGATATTGATCGAATTCATGTAGTTTTTTTTTATTTGTCATTCAATTTAGTTTTAATTTTGATTTGTAATATTTATATTTTCGTGAAACTAGGAATTTTGTCCAGGCTTGAATGGAATATCATTAATAATTTCAAGTATGAAATTATTAATGAAACTTCTTGTGGGAATGATTTGGAAGATCCTAAGTCAAAAATAGTGATCTTTGCTGGCAAGTAGCAAGAACATGATGGGGACAGTCAATCAATAAAGATTGATCCACCGAAATCTCATTCAAATCCAACAGAGCACGTATGGGTATAAGAATTGTATTAAATCGATTGATTAAAAAGAATCGATTTGATGTGTAAATAGGCTAGATTTTGACTTAAATAGATATAAAAATAAAATTGGGTCTGGTCTGAATGTTAGTCTGTATAGGCCCAGTTACAAGTCTACCTTAATTAATATTTAAAAAATAAAAGTCTTGTTCTAGGCTTATTAATCTCTTTAAACTTATTAAATATTTCATAATTAAAAAAATAACTATAATATTATTATTTTATTTTCAAAATTATTAAAATAATAATTTTATTTATTTTATTTAAAATAAATAATATAATACAAGTTGGACTGTAGGCTTATTATAGGTCTAACATGTACAAAAAAATTTATGTCCTGCTTTTTAAATAATTTTAAAAAAAAATTAGGCCTGTTCTATTTGGCTATTTGTAATAAGTCAAATTTGACTTAATATAAGTTAAGCTGTAAACCACTGTAGATCGATCTAGCTTATTTACACATCTACGTGTCATCGACCCAACATCGTCTATGAAGTTAAATAAAATATGGAATTGATTTTAAAAACAAAACAATTTAACTATATAATAATATATTTTTAAATATTATAATTTACATTAATTATATACTTAAATTAAATTCTCAAAACATTAATTTTCTTTTTAATAGAAAATATTATAAATTTTATTTATTTTTCTAGATACATTGAGAGACAAAGCATTAAGGATTTTGCTTAATTATTAGTACGAGGGTTTTTTTAACACAACTCTTATTTGAATATATTTTTTTTGTTATATTGTAAATAAGATTTTATTTCTTATAGTCTTCACTTACTTTCCTTTTGATTCTTATATTTTTTTTCTTTTTTATTTCTATTCATTTGAGTTTTAATTTTATTATTAAAATATAAAGTTTTATATTTTTACTTATTTAATATTTTGTAGTTGTAATTTGTATTTACTAAGGTAGCAAGCATTATTTTTTATAAAAAATATTTTAAGGAGCCAAAACTCAAATAAAAAAATAAAAGAAATAAAGTTTATTAAAATTATTTATTAGGAATAAAAAATAAAATAATTAAAAAATATAAAACAATATAATCTCATTTGAATATTCTTATATTATTAGCTGAGTTTGGTTATGATATTATAAATTATATAAAATACACGAGATATAATTTTCACCTTAATTTGAAAGATTGACTTTGATATCTAATGAATGCTGAGATTCTATTACATCTAAAAGAAAGCTTAAAATCTAAATCTGTATTTTTGTACAACATCTTCAGAGTAATCATCGTGAGCCAAATAATAGTAGGGTTAATGTTCTTTTATCAAAAATTTAAACGACTTAGTGCATGAGAAGAGTACAAGAAAAACAATTCAACAAAATTACAAATTTGAGTCATAACTCCTAAGGGAATGTTTGGTTGAGGAGAAATTTTTTGAATAGTAGAAAAATGTAATTACTAGAGAAATAGTTGGAAAATGTGTTTGGTAGGAAAATGTAAAAAAAGTTGTTTGGTTGAAAAAAATTTACCGAAAAAATTTGGTAAATATTATAAAGTCTATGTTTGGTTTGAGTTAAAATATTGATGGAAGAATGAGTTGCAATTATCAAAATACCCTTTTATATTTATAAAGTCTATATTAAATATTTTTAAATAGTGTATAGGCAAGTCATAGCCAGTTTGGCAATTTCATGACCTCTCCTTTTCTTAAGTTTAATCTCATTCACCTACTAACACCTCTCCTTCTGAGTTCGCATCTCAATCTTATCAATATTCAGAAAGGGATCTTTTTGGCCTCAGCCTCAGGTGAAGGCGCTGCAACAATTGGGTCTTCAAACTTTGGCAACATTGCAGGGGCAAGCTTCCCTTCCTGCATATGTTTGTCAAAAAGCCATGAACTATGCTACGGTGAGTATAATGGTCTGCTTTATTTTGTCAAAAAGTCATTTAGCCGGCTATCAAGAGAAAACCACTCTCAAGATCTCTTTCTAAACAGTGACAAAGACTAGCTTTCGAAGACCAAATGGCAAAATGCTATGTAAATAGCATGGTTGGAGAACTTTTATGAATCTGTCTATCAAACAAGAAATTTGTGGATTGCCAAGTTGATTTACATAAGGAAATTTCAAAAATTCTTGAACCAAACATCACCTAAAAGAATGTGTGTTGGATCTAGTATTTATCACTAGAGTAACCATGATAGCTTTTGGCTTAGTGGTAAGTAGTAGATCCAACATTTAGTGTCAAATGTGAAGTCATGAGTTTAACTCCTTAGAATGACTTTTTGCGAGAGGTGGGTGCTGAGAAATTGTTGGAGAGATTAACATTCTCCTTTTGAGCATATCTGAGAGTATATATTCCTTTACGGAAAATAGAAAAATATGAAATTTAAGTGTCAATAATAATAAAAGAGTGGGTAAATGAAAAAAAGTTAATTCTATTACTTTTTATCAAATTTAATAAAAAAATGTATCCAGTATTTAAAATTAGGGAAATATTAAAAATATTTTCCCTCCCGAGCCTCCCTTGACAAGAATTAGTGTGGGGTCGGATCAAATTAAATCATAACGCTTGAGTTGATAAGTGATAAGGATAAATATAAATAATTGCGTCCTCACTAAAAATTATAGTTTTTAACTTAATAATAGGTGCTCAATCCAATAAGGTGAAGTGAGTCAAGTTCAAAAATCGAATCATGCAAATCCATTGCTACTGATTTTTGTCTTCAAAAAAAAAAACTCATAATTATCTCTCATAGCTATTCTTTCCAATATTTTCACCTATTTTTCACACGTGCATGTCTTCCCTCGTGACCCACGTTTGTATTCTACCCAAGCTAGCCTCTCTTTTTCTTCCTTCTCTTTTTCACAAAATTCCATATTCGTTTCATAATGAATTTCCTCTCTGACTTTTACCTCTCAATGATGAAAAATTGGAACCAGAAAAACTATTATTATCATTCTTTAACAAAATTCAAAGTTACAGTAATGCCTTGGGGACAGAAATAAAATCAGGTCAGGCGGTATAGGTTAGAACTAACGGGGTGTTTGGTAGAGGAAAAAAAATTTTATGTCTGAGAATCATAATTCTCAAGAATATAATAGGAAAATAAGTTTTCAAATAATGTGACAAAAAATTGTTTGGTAGATCAAAATATTACTGGAAATATTAGCTCTAAATTATTGATTCCATGTTTGGTTAATTGTCAAATATTATTGAAATTGTGAGTTAATTTTACAAAAATAACCTTTATCAATTCCAACTATCTCTCTCGCTCTAACTCTCAGTCCAGAAAATGCCGGCAACCGGCAACCAAAAACCACACTGGAGTGCAGATGGAAACTTTATTAAAAAACTATTAACAGGAACCATTTTTATTGCTAATACCAAATCGAACCACCAACACGACCTGTACCAGCATACATCATTTTTTATTTTTTTTCTTCCTAAAACTCCAAATTCACCTCTTTTACTTCAAATTGAACTTGTCTGCAATCGATTTTACAGCTTTGGCCAGAGAGGGAGGATGGAGGTGAAGCGACTTGGGAACTAGTAGAGAGAGAGGGAGGGGGAAGCGATTTGGGAACAATAGCAAAGAGAGATAGGGGAAAGGGGTATTTTTGTCCAAAAAACTGGAAAATATTTTTCCACTGTACTACCTTCAAAGTTCCTTCTCCTTTGCGTGTTTTTGGGTTTCGAGGAAAGTACTTGGCTTGGTTTTTTTTTTAAATGCCAGGAATATTAGCTGAAAAAAAAGTAAGATTTGAAATTTTTATTTTTTTATTTAAAGTGGGCATCTAAATGTATGAATAATTAAAAAGCATTCATTTATTGGTGACTTAAAAAAATGTCATTTCATTTATGTAAATTTTTTTGTCTCGTTATTAATTTTGTTTTAGAAATTAAAATGCAGAATGTTGAAGGGTAATTTTTTTTAATTAAAATATTTTTTAAAATGTAATTGCTATAAAAAAATTAATGAAAAATCAAAATTATGTGTTAACGTAAAAGACCAAAAGAGTAATTAAGGCAATAATTTTTCGTTTAATGTAACTTATGTGCATGTGGCTCTTCATGTTAAGCTAATGCTCGGATAAAAAATTTCCAAATTTTTTGTATCATTAGCAAAGGCTTGTTTGGACACTTTTTAAAAGGATGTTTGCTAACAGATGTGTGTTCATTCTTAATATAATTCAAAATATTTTATGAACTGAACTCATTAAAATTTAAAGATAAATATAATATTACTCATGAACTTAAACGAATTTATTTTATTAAAAATCTTATTTTTTTTAAAAAAAGTCTAAGGGTTGGAATTCCTATCTAAATGTGAAGCTAACTAAATATTCATTTAGTAAAAAAACAAACGGAATATTATTTGAAGCAAGTTTAAATTTAATGAACTTACATAATTAGTTTGTCTTTTTTTCTTAATTAGCAATAAATTTTACAAAGCTATTCTTAAATTCGCAACAGACAGAAAGGACAAAGCAGAAATAGATTTTCCAATCGCTGGCGTATTTTAGCGAAAACCCAACGACCAATAGCGTACGCTAGAGCCGGCGTTGAAGTCAAAGCTCTCTCTCTGTGTTTGGTATTGTAATTGCAAATTGCAGGTTTCTTTCTTGACTCGTTCTCTCTCTTTCTCTCTCTATACCCTCACAACAACCAGAGGTTCTAGAAAGATCCATTCCATTTCGAAATGGACGGAGCGCCGCCCTCCGCCGCCGCCGCCGGGATCGGTGGTCCGGCGCCGTTCCTTTTGAAGACATACGACATGGTGGATGATTCCTCCACCGACGAAATCGTTTCGTGGAGCTCCTCCAACTGCAGCTTCGTCGTTTGGAACCCGCCGGAGTTCGCTCGCCTTCTTCTCCCAACCTATTTCAAGCACAACAACTTCTCCAGCTTCATCCGCCAGCTCAATACCTACGTGAGTTACTTCGATTCGTGCCTTATTGCCTTTGTTCCCGAATTGATGCACTTGTTTTGATTGTAACTTGTTCTAATTATTGATTGTAATACGATTGTTTGCTATATTTGCTAAGTTGGTTGTGTCTTGGCGAAAATGATGATCACCGATCTTCACTCGTTTTTTTTTATTATTGACCTTGGATATTAGCTATGAACTGAAGTGAAATATTGTTTATGTATGATGATCATGACAACGAGATTGAGAAGAACTATACAGTGAGATAGAGAGAGCTTATATTTGGATCTGGTGGAGTCTATTCTGGAGCTAAAACTTAGGGTTAAAAAGGTTGACAATGTTGAACAATATGATGAAGTGAAAGGTAGTAGTTTTTATTTATTGTTATTATTATTTTATTTTTTATTTTTTTGGGGTGGGGGTTGAAGTGTGAATTTGGTAATATAGGACTCAGAATTCACGGAGGAAGGTGATCAATGAAAATCTGCTGTAGTACCTTGGCATATTTTGTTCTTAAATAAAGTGCCAGAAAAATTAGGCACTCAGCAGAAGGTAATAAGAATTTTGTAGTACAGGACTCAGACTGTGTCCAATAAGGTGATCAATGAAAATCTGCTGTAGTACCTTGGCATATTTTGTTCTTAAATAAAGTGCCAGAAAAATTAGGCACTCAGCAGAAGGTAATAAGAATTTTGTAGTACAGGACTCAGACTGTGTCCAATAAGGTCGATCAGTCTTCTCCAACACCCTGGTATATTCTCTACTCAAATACACTAGTGATCAAGGGACAAAAAGAGAAAGTTCCTTTTGGTTTAACACACATAAAAATTATCAACTCACGAAATTTGTTCAAAAGTTCTTAATCCTGGATTCTGTTATTGTATTATCCACAACGGATGCATGTTGAATGCATCCGATGGTTGGTAATTGTTAAAATATTAGGATTCTTAATGTTTTATGAGTCTTATGATGTTAGCAATCTTATTAGGCTGGGCTTGTGTGGGTTGTTGTACACTAGTACTTGACCTAAATTATTAGTAAAAATAGTGGTTGATGTCTACAACAAATCTCAATATCAATCTCATTAATAATATTATTCTCTTTCTCTCTTTTTCAGCTTTTCCCTATATTAATTCAAGTCATTAACTATTATACATAAAAAATATAAAGCTGCTGAAAATATATATGTATATGTATATATATATATATATATATATATATATATATATATATATCGGTGCTCCTAAACGTATTTAATAATACCTAAGTTTGAAGTGTCAGTAGCAGGACAATTCGGCAGCTTTCTTTAATTGTTTTTTCTGAGAGAGAGATTTTTTTATGTTATGTTTGTCAATGAGAAACCATTCGGAATTTGATGTGCACAACTGTTGTGTGATAATAAACTGTGCTGCAAAATATATGATCTATTTTAGTTGAATTGGTTATCGTTAAATAACCAAACTTGATGAAAAATTCACACTAGAGCCTCTCTTTTTTTGGTTATTTTCCTCAGGAGAATTTGTTATTCTACCTTTATATACTTTGTCTTTCTTTTTCTTCTTTTCCCTGGAAAAATAAATGGCTGGCAGAGGTGCATATTAGTTCATGCTATGTCTATTAGTAGGTCTTAGCAAAAGACAAATGTCTATTATCTTCATATCAATCCAAACACAGGATAATTCCCATCATTAAATTTAGGGCTGTGCTATTGAACAATATACTGCTGACGTTCTGCACTCACATTTTTTTTTTTACTCCAAAGTACATATCCCCTGGCATTTTATTTGTTCAAATTATAGAAATGCTCGAGCATGATAGCACTTGAACTTATAATAGCAACTGCCTTAAGTTTATAGAGCAATATAAGTGTTGTAATGTGTTTTTCATGCTGATCTGATATTAACAATGAATTGAATTCAAAAGCAAGCCATAGTTTACTAGAAAAGGAAGAGAGAAAAGAGCTCCAGTAGACATGGTTACTAGGTCTATAATGTTTTCTAGTACTTTTACTGTTGGTTGGGTAAAAAAAATTTCTCCCTCATATTTTACACTTAATTTTCAATATAATCCCTGAAGTTTACGTTGCGTCAATTTAGGCCTTTTTTATTTTTAAAGAGTTTATATAATCCTTCACAAAGTAGTTAGTTATTGGTAATCTTTCATCAGAATATTGATGTGACACTTCTATATTTGGTAATCTTTCATCAGAATATTGATGTGACACTTCTATATTTGTTTCTTCTCATGCACAGAATGTATATATGCATCAACCTTGTAGCGTTACTTATGATACCATTTTTTTCTTTAATTTTAATATTATCATTTTAAATACCAGAAAGGTTTTGGAACCTAAAATTTTGGTAAAATGAAGTCACATGTGATATAAATGTGCATAGTGCTTTATCCAATGTAGAAAACTTTGAAATAATGTCAGCAAAAAAATCAGAGGTAACAGATTATATATGGCAATTTGGGTCAAGATTACATAGTTTAGACTGGAAGTGGTTGTAACTGGAGGTAAATTGGTGGAACCATAATAATAATTTTGCTTCACTTGGAGTAATGATATCTGTATGCTGGTTGTTGTGCATGACTTCTTACCCAATTAGAAGCCATTGAGATAAATAAAAAATATTAATGTAACAAACTTTAAAATGTTGCATGTAAGAGGAGGTGTGCAAGAACTAGCATACAAATCACATTACTTGATGGAAATCAATTTTAGGTGTAAATGCAGAACAAAAAGGAGCAGATTTATGAACCCCCGACAATAGTTCGGTAAGATGAGGTCAAGCGATGTTCTGTTTGGGATTTAGATGAATTTTTTTTCTAGGGTTGGCGGTGGTGGGTGCTGTGATACTTGTATGCCTTAGTTTCTTTTGTAGAGGTCCAGTCATAAAGGGTATTTTGATCCTTTAATATTCTGTCTTTGGGACCACCATTTGTGTGTTAGTCTGTATTTCTTATTCTGAGCAAGCTATAATGGTATGTTATATTTTCTGTAGCTCTTTATCAATTTGGGGCAATAATAAATTTCAGATTTGAATGCAATCAAACTCTACTAAGTATGGTGCTTTCTCTTGCTAGGCTAGCTTCCTATTTCCTGTATCCCTATTTATGTGATATTTTCTTTTCTATCACTGTTCTTGATGTTTCCTTTCGACGTGGTGAATCCAAGGGTCGCCTTGGAATCCTAATCCTCAAAATTTCCCATTTATTATAAACCTTAACCATAAGATTGGAGCAATGGTAAAGTTGTTCCTTTGTGATTGAAAGGTCAGGATTCGAATCCGGGAAATAGCCTCTTTACAATTATAGTTATGACATCAGGAAAACAAAAAAGGCAGAACTAAGAACTCTAATCTTGTATATTTTTTTGTCAAAAACTAATTCAACCTAAAAGCTTAAGCTATTAGGTGAAGACCACATTAATGGTTTTATGTTATATTTTTTTAACACGCTCCCTCACACGAGAGCCCTATGGGCTTGAAGGGTAGATAACGTACAAACTCGTTTACTTGTATTAAGAAATTCCACAATATTTAATTATTTATTAATAGAATGGAGGCCGTGAGAATCGAACTTGTGACCACTTGGTCACAGATGCTCTCTGATACCATGCAAAAAAACCAATTCAGCCCAATAACTTAAGTTGTTAGTAAAGATTTTTATTGAACAAATCCAAATTGATATCGAAGTTTTAGATAGGGTTGGAATTTGGAATTCATGGACATATACACGGTAATGATTGAAAATTAAGGCCCACTGCCTGCTTTTCCTATTTGGAGGTTTTCTTTTTTTGTAAAGAGTATACTTTTAAGGATTGGATGGTAAATCATTGGAAGAAAATTGTAGATCTTATAGCTTGAATGATAAACAATTGCTTATGGGCATTTATTTTTTTATTGCTTATATTGTCAAGCATTTAAGAAAACCGTTATTAGGTTTTAGTTTGTTTTGGTTCATTTATATGTGTTTCATTATCAGGGTTTTCGAAAAATACATCCTGAGCAATGGGAATTTGCTAATGATGATTTTGTTAAAGATCAAAAGCATCTTCTTAAAAATATTCACCGCAGGAAACCTATCCACAGTCATAGTCATCCTCCAGGTTCTCTTGTGGATTCAGAAAGGGCAACATATGAGGAAGAAATAGAAAAACTTTCACGTGAGAAAGCTTCTCTTGAATCCAATATTTTTAGCTTTAAACAACATCAGAAAAAAGCAAAGCCTCGTCTGGAAGATTTTCAGCAGCGATTAGAGGGTACAGAGAAGAGGCAGAAAAAATTGCTGGACTTCTTCGAGAAGGCTCTGCAGAGTCCTACTTTTGTTGAACATCTTTCACGCAAAATTGAGTCCATGGATTTATCGGCATATAATAAGAGAAGGCGATTGCCTCAGGTTGATCACTTGCAGCCAGTTGCTGAAAGTAGCTTTGTTGACAATCTTAGCAATTTCAGAATGGAATCTGGGAATGTTTTTCATCGGGATTTCTCAAATAAACTCAGACTAGAACTGTCACCAGCTGTTTCAGATATGAACCTAGTATCACGTAGCACAGAGAGTTCCAATGAAAATGGAGAAAGCTCTCAGAAGCTGTCTGAAGGAGAACCGAAAGGAGTTCAGACAAGAACAGCTCTTGCATTTGCACCTGAAACATTAGAGCTTGCAGATTCTGGGGCATCTTTTACTTTTAAGATGGATTCATGTTTATCACGAAGAGCAACAACTGCTGAGATGCACTCTTTGGGGCCAAGTAGTGAAGAAGGTGATAGTCATATATCCTGCCAACTAAATTTAACTCTGGCATCTTGTCCATTGCAAGTCAACAAAAATTCATACTCGGCCAGATCACCCCAAATAGACTGTCAAGAAATTGGTAAATTGGCAGAGTCAAGATTTTATGCCAATGGTAAGGAATCTGATAGTGGAGTTTCCTCAAACCGAAATGTAGCTAATGATGTTGTTACCAATTTAGCGTCGTCACAGGAGGCTCCAAGTAACAACCAAGTTAACCCAGCTGCTCCAGGTAGAGTGAATGATGTGTTTTGGGAACAGTTCCTTACGGAAAGACCAGGCTGTTCAGATGAAGAGGCAATATCTAACTACCGAGCAAACTCATATGATGAGCAAGACGAAAGGCAGTCAGTTCATGGAATGTCTAAAAACATTAAGAATATGGATCAGCTCACACTCTGAGCATTCTGTCTGGGAGCACTATTTATGCTTATGGTATGTGAGAAATGCATGATTAATTTACATATGATTTAAAACTTGACATCAAGTTGTGCTGCAAGGGGCTGAAACCATTTCATGTAAAAATATGTTTGGCCTTTGTGGCTTACTAACTGATGTCTCCTGTACCAGCTTTGGGGACTGATGCTTACTTACAATGTCAATTAGCTGATTGGCAGCGTTGTATATATTCAAGTTTTGAATGGCTTTCACACGTATCATAGTAAACTTAAGTATTTGATTTCTTCATGGTTGCGTAGAGAGCTATAAGTAGGTATTTGTTGATTACTCTTAGCTTTAAGCTGCATTACATGAGGGAAAGTTGTGATGGTTTTGGCAACTATCACAGCTTGGAAACAGTGTTGCTCTGGGAATGATCAAAGTATTTTCATACTATCTGTTCAGTGACTTCAGACGGTTGACTCCAATACGATGATAACATAGACATAAGCATCATTTTGGAGTATATTTGATGATTCAAAACATTGCTGGCCGGCAAACTAATGGAACAATATAGCAATCACTGATATTATTAGTACTAATGTTTCTATTAATTCAGTTTTATTGAATATAATTTCTATGACTTTCAAAAGTTATATAAATAAATATTTATAACTAAGAAGACTAATTCGTTCGTTTATCTAAAATTTAAATAAATTTGATAAATTTTTTGAATTTCACTTTGATTATTGCGTAAGGAGGAAAATGTTTCATGTTATGAAAGCCATTGTATTAAAAATATTTAACAAATTTATTCTACTTAAGATTAATAAAAATTAAAATATAAGAAATTCAGTGAGAATATTAAAAGTACACTATTTTTCTTTTAATGGCTATACTAATTTGTTGTATAATAATTATATTATACCGTATAAAATTATGATAATTTCTTTCACTACGTACAAAACATAACCTAAAAAATAGATTATATATATATATGGAGAAAGTTATACTTATAACCTATTTTCGTTTACAACTTCTTACAATCATATCTTAACCGTTGATTTTCGTTAATTAACGGTTATCATTTATTGTGAATTAATAATTAATTAATAAATTTGATTTACAAAAATCTTAACCGTTGATTGACGAAAATAAATAGTTAAGATATGGTTGTAAGAAGTTGTAAATGAAAATAGGTTGTAAGTATAACTTTCTCATATATATATATATATATATATATATATATATAGGGTCAGGATCATTTTACACCAGTGTAAGTTACACTCTTAATCTTGTTTGTTGATCCCATTTATATCTAAGGGCTCAAATTTTTTAGTTATGTGAGCCATTGGATACAAGTGGATCAATGATTAAGATTGAGTGTAAGACTTCTAACTCTTACACCGGTGTAAGAATATCCTGCCTCATATATATATATATATATATATATATATATATATATGGAAAAATGTTTCTGCTGTTAATGCAGATAACTTATCTGCATTTATTCCCAAAACGACGTCGTTTTGGTATTGAAATCTTAAAAAATTTAAATATAAAGATTATAATAACCCTGAAATAAATTAAAATTATAAAAATACCAGGATTTCCGCCCCAAAACGACGTCGTATTGGGCTTACTCCAGATAACTTATCTGCAGTAACTGCAGAAAAAGCGAACCCATATATATATAGGGTTTGTTTTTTCTGATGTTACTTTAGATAACTTTATCTAATATTCATCAAAACGACGTCGTTTTGGGACAGAAATCATGGTATTTTTATAATTTTAATTTATTTCAGGGTTATAATAGTCTTTATCATTCTAATTTTTTAATTTTTCAACCCCAAAACGACGTTATTTCGATGAACATTAAATAAAGTTATCTAAAGTAACATCGGAAATTTTTTTTCCATATATATATATAAATATATATGAAAAAACATTTCTCAAGCTGCTTGAAATAATTTTATCTCCGGCAACTTCAAAACTACGTCGTTTTGTTTATTTATTTCCTTATATATATTGATTCACTTTTGAATGATTATGATTCTCTTTTTCTCTCTCTTCCTTTATCACCATTGATTCATCTTTGTACAGTTATAATTTAGCAGCAGGAGATAAAATTATCTCAAGCAACTTGAGAAATGATAAGCCCATATATATATATATATGGGGAGAGAGAGAGAGAGAATTGTTTAATGATTTAATCCTTCCATTGTGTAATTATGCATTTCTTGAACAATATGACCCTCAATTATGTACCTTCTCTCATGATAGTTAAAATCTGGATTTAAATCTTAAAATCTTGATTTTAACGATTTATTTTTGCTAAAACGATTTAGATTTCACTTAAAATCCTTTTCAATATAAAATCCCGATTTAGACATTTACTTAAGTCCCGATTTTAAGATTTAAATCCCGATTTTAACTATTGGAATGATGTTAAGCAAGTTAGAAAAATTGTTGAATATACATTGCTGATGTTTCATCCAAAGATGAATGGATTGTGGAAAATGAAGGAACTTTATCTTATGATAAAAGTTTAGATGAAGACAATTTTGAATGATGTAGTTGAAGATCACGTAGAACAGAATGTCTTTGATGATAATAACTTGAACGATGTATTAGCTTGGACCCTTAGAGTGTGACAATTGTATGCAAATGTATAAGGATGGTGGCAGGTAGTCTATTTTTTCTTAATTTTTTTTATACATAAGCATATGTATATAGAAATTTAATTTTAGAGTGCAGGTAAAATCCACGATTTGTATTACGATTTTATGATTTACGATTTTTTATCCTTTTTCGATTTTAGGTGACTACCTTGCCTTTCCGCTTAGGCGCTCTACTTTTTGATAGTTGACTTTTTCTGGCATTGGATTCTTGTTTCCCCACAATCACCATCCCAATTGAGGTTGTTTTTTTAAAAAAAAAATAATAATAAACCTCGTTATTTTATCTTTATTAGATAAGATAATTTTTCTCTTAAAATATTGGCTAAACAAGTTTATGCCTCCCTAGTTCCAGATAGGGTCAACAAGTCCTCACCTTGGTCGTGGCTTCACGGGCCTAACCCATAATGTTATTGAACGGTGGAGGCATAGATCCCTATGTTAACAAAATTTTGTTACCATGTTAAAAATGGTATTTATACATTCTATTCCTCAATATGGAAAGTTACAACAAATACAAAATAACCTAAATATAAAAATAAAATAAAATGATAATAATAGGGATGATTTTTCCAAAATTATTTTTTCTATTCTTAGGATTTGGAGAAAAGGAGAGCCGCCCTATGTAACAGGTCTACTAGTGCTTGAACCAAATTAATTGAATAATCGATAAATCGGTATACATATTAAAAAAAAAAAAGTGATTGTTGGGTGTAAACTCAAACATTATCGTAATTAAAAAAATATTTAAAGTCAAACAGTAAAAATATATTTATTATGTATTTAATTTAAAATGCATTATGATTTTAATATTATTATATTAAAATAAATACCACCCTTTATTACATATATATATATATATATATATATATATATATATATATGAGTTAAGTGGATGTCCTTTAAAAAGACACAAGTTATGTTCTTTTAGTAATTTACACAAAGTCTGACCGGTCAGACTTTGTGTAAATCTGAAAAATTGATTTTTTTTACTTTACTCATCAGCAATGTGATTGGGAGGGAAAGAGAAAAAAAAAAGCAACTTTTCAGATTTACACAAAGTCTAACTCTGACCAGTCAGACTTTGTATAAATCAGCTAAAAATACACAAGATTGTGTCCTTTTAAAGCATACTTTTTTTCACTATATACATATTTATTTATTTTGCTATTTGCACGTGAGCCTTAGAGCGCTCTCAACTAGGTGTCCAATTTATTACTAAACACCGACAAGAGTTCTCAATTTCACATTCACAACCTTAATAAAAAACTGAAAACAAGTAACCTCCAAACACAAAACAATGTCCCAACCCAAATTCATTGTCATAACCTTCCTATACATGTCACTTGTTCTTCCACTCAACACCCATCTCCCAATCTGTAATGGCCTATCAGTTATGGATCTCAATTTGCTGAAACACAGTGAAACTGATGTAATGACCAAAAGGGTTTGCACCAAAAGCATTGTGGAGTGTTTTGCAGAGCAAGAAATGAGTACAGAAACCAGCAGAAGAATTCTGGAAACAATGCAGCACAGGTACATTAGCTATGATACACTGAAGAAGGACATGGTTCCATGTGATAGAGCTGGAGCTTCTTACTATAATTGTCATGCAAGACAAGCAAATCCTTATAGTAGAGGATGTGAGGTCATTACTGCGTGTGCAAGAGGTGTTCAAGGCATCAAAAGTTAACACAGTCCTTGGAATGAGTGAAGGAAACTAGGAAAGTGACCCAAGTTGCTGTATGTTCTTATTCCTTTCTCCTTTGTTTCATATATGAGCTTTCCTAGTCTTGGTCATTACTTTTATACTTTTCTATTGGTTTTTATTTAATTTCTTTGCTACTTTTGTTTTTGTGAACATACCACTGCAAATTGACACATTACTTGGGATTTTAATACCTGTTTGTTGCAGAATATGTTTATACAAATTTAGTTGCAAAGTTTATCCACTTCTTGGACACTCTTGATAATCTTCCATTATTAGGATAAAAAGTGTTAAGAATGAGAAATATTTTCCTAGAAGCTAGGTTAATCTTTTACTTCCTATTATATTTTCTACAAGAATTTTGTCTAGAAGAAAACATTTTAGAAGGCATATTTAATCTGCATGAGGTATTGAAATGAATTGCTTATACTTTGTTGGCTTTGTCTTTTGATTTCAGTCTTACTTCATTTGAAACGAGGCTCTTTCGTTTTGAGTCAAACCCCCTTCTGCAGCAGACAGGACTTAGTGGTTAGACTGAGATTGAAGGGGAAAAGAAGTTGATTTCTTCACAACTGGTAGGGAATATATAAGAATAGTACAGTTAATCCATCATGAAAGTTGTGAGTTGTGTATTAAGAAAGTCTGTAATCCCATACTTTTTGTGACTTATAAGTTTTAATTATATAATAAGAATTAAGAAATATGTAGTGGACTTCATCTAGTAATATCTCTTGCCACTTATTCAAACCTTAGAATCATGTTTGTATCATAGCTTACCTTATGTATAAACCTGGTAAGCAGAGAAGAAGGGAAAATGTGGCATTTTAGAAGCAGTATCTAGTGTAAGATGTAAATGAAATCAAATTAATGAATAAAAAGCTTGG